GTAGGAACTGATTCTTCGATGAAAGGTAGGCAGAGGGATGGGCACCAGCAGCTATGGTCAGCAAAGGCTTCATGAGTGCTCTGATCTCAGTACTGCTCCAGTGCTGCGTTATTCTTGCACACGTAGATTAAAAAGGTCAAAGCAACATCTCTTGTACCAGCAGCTAATGTCGAGTATTATCTTCTCCTTAATTGAAACACATTCAAACCCTAAACAAATCAACACTTTGCAGTGTTTAACATCCCTCTAACTAATTAACAAAACCCAGGTGCTTTCAATGGCAAAGCTAACTCATCCCTTTACCGTTCACCTTGCATCTGATCACAAGGCAGTTCAGTCAGTGAATTAATGAGGGTTTGTTTTCCCTTCTCTTCATAAAGCTTCCATGAATGAGAAGCCTGTCTGCAAGCTCCAGCTCAGCTCGCACCTGTGCCCTCCCAGCCCTCCAGTTTGCAGCCCATGCCAGGACTGAATCAGCAAGGGCAGCAAAGAGGACGCACGGAAAGAGCAAAAGGAAGAGGTGATGCTCAAGAATTGTCTAAAATAAGCTGCCCATGTGGCTTGGAGTCAACTCCACCCATACTGCCCAGCAGGCTCTGCAGCAAAACTGTCGTTTTTTCCCGATTATAAATCACACATAGTAAATGTGCTCTTCCTCCTCCTGTGACTGATGCTCATGGCATGGCAGCAGCCGGGTCTATCAGTGCTGCTGCATTCAGTGCACCAGTGCAAGGGCTTGGGGTGACTCCTGCCTGGTGCAGGGGTGCGTGCTCCCAGAGTACCCCATGCTCCTAAGGGGAGAGTCACCTTTAGGTGGGGGTTCTGGAGGCACCCAATGCGTGGGGATGAGGGTGCTTACAGGAGAAAGAACTCTTAAAATGCTTTGGTAAATAGGTGAGTGGGGATGAATGGGAATGCGAATAAAAGGAGGACTGTGATCAGGCTTGGAGGTACAGGAGAGCCCTTTCATCTCCCATCCCACGCCCTGGGAGCTGTCAGGCTCTGAGCTCCATGGCAGCAGGCACACTCTGGGGCACAGACACCAGGCGGGTTTTAAACACAGCACAAGCAACAAAGAAGTGATGTGGGGGGAAACGCAGCACGCTGCTGGCCTATAGGGTGTTGGAGGGGGGCTGGCATTTCCCAGTGCCTGGTAAGAACCAGCTCTTCTGGCCTACAGCGTTCCCTCCACAGTGTGAGGCAGCATCTCCAGTTCTCAGCCAAATGAGATAAAACGCCCTGGGACCAGAGTTACCCAGGTTTTGACTGAGATAAGCCGTCATTTCAGTGGGTGACAAAAAATACAGGGCATAAGAGCACCTGCAGCCACCACCTGCCAGTTATCTCGGTGCCAGGAGCCCGCCTGGGAGCTGAAGTGGTTGAGATAATGGCTGTGACAATTCATCTTGTAAAAGGATGAAAAAGAGCGGGTGAAAGAGCTGAACATCACTACGACCCTTAAGCAGACTGTAAATCTTCAAAGAGGAGAAAAATAAAGAGTCCAAGGGATGCATGGTGGAACCCTGGTGATAAAAGCCATGCAAACATTCAACTACAGGTAGGGCTGCAGCTATTGCTTTGCCCCCCCATGCCACAAAGTCAACAACAGGAATACCAAAGGGGTTGGAAGAAATCAGGTAGGAAAACTCAGACTTAAAATCAAATTTATTTAGAGGAAAAATGACTTTACAAGAGGTTGATGCTGATAACTAAAAAGGAAGATAAATAAAAGCTCGTTACAAAACCTAATGGTTTCTGGCAAGTTACAGGAAAACTGAAGAATTTTACACAGTCAATAACCTGCTCACTTTTTACATAATTACAAATTAACATACAGCAATTAGGTTTTACCCTCTTTTTTAAAAAATTCCTTTTTTTAAAACTTTTTTTTTAATTAATTTTTTAATGGGTTCAACATGAAAATGCAAAGCATATTTTTTATCTCTTTTTTTTTTTTTTTTAAAGAAACAAACCAAAGGCAGAGGTATATGGGGTTGCTGTAATACACCCCCTAACGCTCCGGGCATTACTCAAGTGCATTCCATATTAGTACAAGACAAACACCAGGCTAAACTTTAACCATAGGCGAACTGAACTGGATGTCAGATTATTTTTGTTTTGACTCACCGTTTAATATCGATAGAACAATAAAATACTTCAGAGCATGGAAATGATTGATACCTATAGACAGCTTAAATACATACAAAGCTCACAGCTGTAGGCCAAGCAGTGAACGTCATCCTGCCCCCCAACCCCCCAAGCGAAGGAAGCAGAATATATTTGGGCAAAGCATCAGTGTCAGTGAAATGCGTGTGGAAGGAAAGGCATTGAGCCCCAAAATGCAGGTGGGCCGGGAGCTGATGCTGTGCTTCCCGTGCCCCAGGAGCCAGAGGTGCGTCCAGTTCAGCTCACCTATCTTTAAAACTTAGCTGCATCGTCGGGTCAGGAACTCATCGCTGATTGCTGCCCCTTCTGACAAGCGACGCAAGAGTTAGGAGCAGTAGGGGAGGGTTGGTTTTTTTTCTCTTTAAAAGGGTGCCTTAAATTATGTTGAATTCCCAAACCTGACCAGCAGGCAGAATAACTTCCAGAGTTCTGGTTAACAAGGAATGTTTTGTTGGATTTGAGCAGATGCTCTCTCCTGTGCCCCCTGCCCATTCCTCCCTTGTGTCAGACACCCTACACAGCTTCCTTGGCGTTTGGCACCTGATGAACCTCTCCTGACCCGGTGGCAATGGGAAGGGCTGGGTTCGGGCCTTTTGCTAACAGCTTTGAGATATCCTCATGCAGCAAGGAAGGTGCAAAGACTTCAGGCTCTACAGATGCTCTTCCTGTGTACAAACCTGCTCAAGCTCATGGCATTGCTTCTCAGCAGTGGTCAAACTCCAAGAGGAGGAGGAGGAGGAGGATGGTGGTAGCATGAGGTCATACAGGGTGACACAGCCAGGCCATCAGAAGCCAACTGCTCCACTCCTGATGCCTGCTCCTAAGTGCCATGGTGTGAGGCCAGGGGGGCTCCATGAGCAAATGGCTGCTGGGCTCTCCCGTGGGGAAAGGGCTCACCCTGCCTGTGGTGGGACCGTAGTCACATTCACATCCACTTTGGTCTAATAATGATACAAAACGCTTGGCCCTTTGTCCCCCCCCCCAAAACAAGGGCAGGCCGGTGCTGGTAACACTGCTGTGCAGCTTGGGCTGTGCTGGGCATGCCGAGGGGAAAGCAATTACACAGCTGATTGTCTCCACTTAACCAAACTGAAAAGTGACACGACCAGTTCCATTTAAAGTGCTTTAAGGCATCACACTGAGAGAAAGTCACATGCTGAGATGATCACATCATTTAAGAGAAACTAAGGCAAACCCCACACACCTGCACCAAGTCCTACGCCTACAGCTGCTCCCTGCTCCCGGAGTCTCCTGGTGCTCCCAGCTGATAATGACCACCTTTGTACTTCATCTGAGACAGTGCCAGAACTGTTCTATGCCCCAGGAATGCCTCATGGGATGAGGAGGTTTGGCTCTCTGAGTGGGATCGAGGCTCTGGGAACCAGACCTGGCATCAGGTTGGGTTGGAGGAAAGACACCTCAGCACCTGCAGGATGGGTGCCAGGCCTGGATCTGAAGCAAACATGATTTTAAGGTTGGGAAAAGGTGCTGTAAAACTGGGACTGTAGTCTAGCAGACAACATTAAGCAACCTGCAGGGATCAGAGCAGGAATCAGACTCTGAGAACCTACGCCAGGCATTTCCAAAGAAAACCTGAGTGGGAAAAAAACCAAAGGCTGAAGAGGTAAAAACAAGTCCTCACCTTCTGATAGGTAACAGAAGGAAGAAGCTGTGTGGGAGTAAAGGCTTCAATCCAAATAAAGTGAGTCATGTAGCAATGTACATCCTCCAGTGACAAAGCTCTGCCCTCTGCGATGTCAGACACAAACAGCTTTGATGTGCAGTATTTCCCTTCAGGATAGTTCTGATTCAAACCCACAGCATCTTTGACAAATGGGCCTTTAGAAATCATGAAGCAAACACTATTTTCTGCGAGGCCTTGGGTGCTCATTTTGGGTTGCACAGGTCAGAAGAGGGACTGAAACCAGGCAGACTCAGCCCTGCTGCTCTGGGTCTCCCTACTGAGGCCCTTCTCAGAGCTACAGGACACTCCCCTGCTTTGTGACTTCAAGCACTGCTGGGGAAAAGACACAGGGATGAGAAGAAAAGCTCAGACTGGCAAAGGCCATTACAGACTCGAGGGAATGCTCAGAAACATCGAGGACCCGATCTCTGTTTATACAACACTAAATGAGCCAGGCACTGGTTTGGTTTCCAAAAACTTCAGCTTGGCACATGTGTTTTCCCAGCCATGCAAACAGTGGAGCAGAAGCCAACCTGCTCTGTGGGTGCTTTTCTTGTTGAGAAGACAACACCAACACTTCCAGCCAAGAGGAGCTGCCCAGATCCACCCAGGCCCTCACAGCACTGCAGGACCCTGTGGTGTTTTGCTCTCCCTTTGCCTCCGAGAAGCATGAGAAAACCCAAGGAAAATATTTAACCCAAGAAGAGAGCAGACAGGACTCTTGTCTGAAGTCACCAATTCTCTTCCCAGACCTTTCTGGCCTGAAGATGCTCTGCCTTACAGAAAGCTCTCAATTGAAATCATGCAGCTCTGGGCACAGCACTGCCCACCCCCCAGTTGGGTAGGAACCAGGGAATCAGAACGTTGGGTTTACCAATCTTTTGGTAAGAAAATAAAAACAAAACAGGGAGCAAAAAAAAAAAAAAAAGAAAAAGGGAAGAAAAAAACCAAACCACCCCCAAATCCCCAAAACAAAAGCAAAATAAAAAAATACAACCAAGTAAACTTCTTTAAGAAAAAAAAACCTCTTTCAAATAAACAGAAAGATAAATAATTTTGCAAGCCCCGCTTGCAATTAAGAATGAGCACCAAATAACATTAAAAAAAAAAGCAAAATAAAAATAAAATCTCAACCCTTTTCCTTTCTTCCTTTTTTTTTTTTTTTTTTTTTTAATTTTATCTTAGCAGTTCAGAGAGCTTCAATAGCAAGCAGGTGGCTCTTAGGGCTCCTGCACAGACCATCAGAGCATCCCCCTCACCTGCAGCGCTGCCGATCTGCATCAGCACCCAACTCTGAAAACTGCTGTGTGTTCCTAGCTTGGGTGAAGCTAAATCAAACAACAGTGCAACTAAAGAACTGTGGTGTTGTGTGGTTTTGGTTTTTTTTCATTAAAGCAAAACTGGTAGGAAAGGAAATGCACTCAGCAGCCTCCAACTCGGAGCAAACCCTTGAGTTATTTTGGAGCTGATAACGTCCTATCACTATTCACAGATCCACTCAGCCAATTGATCTCAGAGGGTTTGGAACAATCGTGCAAGGAACAGAAGTGGCTTGCTGCATTGCTCTTCCCTGCTGTACTCCACAGCTGTATAAACACCTCACTGTCGGCACGTGCTTCTTTAGAGGCAGACTTGGCAGTGCTAGGTGAACAATTGAGCTTGATGATGCTAGAGGTCTTTTCCAGCTGAAATGACTATGATACTGCATCGAGAGCTGTCCTCAAACCTTCCCCTTCTGCTGAGGGTGACACAGATGTGCTCACACAGTAAAGGACGTGCACCTGGCATGCCAGCTTTTGGATCTGCTGCACAGTGGTTCTGTCCACGTGAATACATTTTTCTGCCCAGAAACAAGAGCACAATGCTGCAGAGGCATGGGTCTGAAGAGCTGCCTCCTCAGAGTTCTCTCTGCTCTGACCTATCTCACTGATGTGCTATGAAACTGCTGGTGTTTCTGCCTTAGAAACAAGCTGGAGAAGCTGACAAAGTCCAGAGGAAGAGAAGCCTAGCAGTAACATAGAGTGGAGGAAAGAAAGCACAAATAACAGAACCAATGTCCCTCAAAGCAGATTTCCAGCCACCTTTCCCATACGCCATCAGGCTTGCCTGAAGGGATGTCAAACAACTGGAGAAATAGATCCTGGCAACACAAATCTTTACGGGAAGGAGTGAGCTGTAGCTCCAAGAGAGTGCTTAAAGAAAAGCTGCTTAGCGTTCTTCCTACTTGATGACCTTCTGTCCTGGCTTCCTAGGGTTGCCTTCCAAACCTCCCAGTTTCAATTTTCTGCATCACTTTAAATATACTCCAAGTTCTGCTTGATTCTGGAAACAGTTTGACATGTAATTCCTCCACCCCCCATAAATCTCTTTGGAGAGCTTCAATTCTATTTGTTTCCTGTATTTTTTTCTTTTGAACACCATTACTCTTCCCCGGTGTGCAGTGCCTTGCTGAAAGCCAGCATCCACACCATGAGCACCAAGGGGCGTGCGGGTCAGTGGCGTTACAGCTGGGGCAGTAGGACAAGATATTTGATATCCAAATGCTCCCTGAAAGGCATCACCTATCCCCACGGGCCGAGCTAAGCTTGGCTGTACAGACCTAAGCATATCCCAGAGGATACATAGATACAGAGATGGGTATGTACAGTATATCTATATATGCCAGTGTGTACGCACCATTTGTAGAGTCCTAATCTTTTTCTGAATGCTTGGTTTTGGTTACCTTCCCCAGAAAAGGGGAACATGAAGGCACAGACCCCTTAAGGCTATGTTCTCTCATCCCTTAGCAGTACCACAGACTGCAAACATCCGTCCCAACCGACCTGAATCCAGGTTTGCACAGGGAGATGGTACCACTTGCTGTGTGGGAAGCCTCTGCGGTGACAACTCACGCAAACCCAAGGAAAGAGGCTCTTTCCCACCACTTTATAAACTTGCAGAACGTTTTAATGAAAACCTCCAGATGCTTGTCAGGTGCAGGTGCAGGCACCAGCACTGTGCTGTGGGTCGGGCAGGGAGATGTCCGCTGTATGAAAGCTGAGAGTGACCGACGGAGCCGTCCCCACTCAGCAGAAGATCTCCTCACCCTCTGGAGGTGCTTCTGATGAATGAGAATCTGAGGAGAAAAGAAACAAGTGGGAATCACTACGGGGATACAGCAATATAGCAAGCAGAGCGGGACTCCCTTCAGACACGTGGAAACCCTGTTTCTCTGCCCAATCCTCTGGGGACCTTGAAAGATGTTGAGTTCCCAGTGAGCTACAGGAAATTACAGCCATTGGGAAAACTGCTGAATTTCCTGGACATGAGCTGGAAAACATGAATGAATTAAGATGTATCAGCTGGTCACCTGAAAGCCTGAGATCAACTTGTGTATGGGCAAGAGTCTGAAGTGCAGAACAGAGTGCTATGGGGATGAAACACGGGGGAGGGGAGAAGTAAAAAAAAAGCCACATTTAGTTTTTAGATCAATAGACAAGGCAGACCAGCTTGGGGGAAGGGAGAGTGCATGGGAAGGGTTGGAGGGATTGCTTACAAACTAGAACAGAACTATAAATGTCAGCAGTGCTGCCGGAGGGTCTCGAGGCAGACCGGAAGATTCCATGCAGGCTCTGAAAGCATGAAAGCATCCCTTCTGAGGGAGAGCAAGCTGAAAAACACAGAGAGAAGCCAGCTTGTGGAAGCTGCTCAGAATAGGACATGGAAGGGAAGGAGAAGAGAGGCAACATGTCCCTCTGACAACCCCAGCGGCTGTAGAGGAGGTCAGCTGAAGCTGGGAATTTCACTCATCAGACCTGATCTTCTCTGTCCTTCTCTGTTACCATCTCCGTTCAAGGCCAAATAGCTTCCACAGGTTCACTGGCTGAAAGGGAATTCCAGCTTATTGACCCTAAAAACACATCTGCGACCTCCTGACACTCACCAGATTCCTGGGAGCGATGTCCCCTGCCCTTCTTCTTCTTTTCCTTCTTTTCCTTTGGTTTGGATAAACTGAAGAGGCGAGTAGGCATCTGGGGCTGCTCCTCAGCTGCCTTGTTAGTCAGGTTTGTTGTGCTAAGCAAATGGGAAGTGCTTTTCTCTTTGTGTGTCCTTGAAAGATTGTTCCTTTTGGGGGAGACAGACAGTTCTGCATCAGAGTGCCCTTGCTTAGGAAATGAGGGGCTCTTCTGCACGGAGGTGCCTTCGAGGCTGGACTGGGAGCAAACCCTGGCAAGTTTCTCATGTCGATTTGACACCTATAAAAGAAAAGAAATAAGTTTCACTGGTGCACAGAAGAGGGTAGTGGAGAATGTGGAGAGAGAAAAGATGTTTCCAAGACCACTCACAGAGACCACCACTCATTCAGCAGCTACAAAGCACAGCCATGCAGGCAAAGCCCTTTCTGTGTAAGACAGGCGACGCATACAGAGTACCGCTCCAGTATCTTCTACTCCCACATGTAAAATCAACAAACCAAGGGCAAACATTCTCTAAGATCTCGATACCACGACTCACCCAGAGCTGTTAGTGCACACAGACAGTGGCAGCAGGCCAAGAGGAGCGTGCCTCTCCGGGCAGCATGCAGCACCGGCCAGGCATGTGGCAAAGGAAGCCTTCCCAAGAGAAAGATGAAAGCAAAACATTTCCCCTGATTTTTCTTAAGGTCTGTCTCAGGGTATAATTGAGCCCTCGCATTCAAAGGGAAGATCAAAACAACAGCTCAACAAAGCCTCGCCGAGCCCTCTATTAATAGCTCTGAACTGTCAGTGAGATGCCTGCATGAGAAGGAGCTTCCTTCCCTTGATCCTGAGCCTTCAGTTACTTTACCTCTCAGCCTCTCCCATAGCACCCGTGCCCCATGGATGCTGAGGAAGCTGTGCTGTGTGCTCCTGGCCTGACCAGGGCTGGGCTGGGAAGGAGCAAGCACTCCCTGGGTGATTTGCTTTACAGAGTTTACTGCTGAGCTCCTCAATTAGTCCATTCAGGCACCCAAAATAATTTCAGTTCCGCAATCCAGCATTTACAAGCTAATTTTGTTACAGCTCTAAGCAAATTGCATTCAAAATCAGGGAGTTATAAACAAACAAACGTTCAACATCTGGCTTAAGGTTCAAACTCAGCCCATGTTTTGCAAACTGATGCATGCTCTCCCCAGCATGCTAAAAAATGCACAGCACAGAACAAGATCTGTGCTTTTGAGCTCTGGACAGTCCTACACCAGAAGCTTCTCACACCAGTGCAAGTGCCCTTTGGACCACGTCTGGACTGCAGATGTCTGGCCTCTTTAGGACAGGGACAACACTTGTCTCTGCTAGATAATGCTTGTGGAGGCAGACTTAAGCCCACAGTCTGCAAACAGAAAGACATTCACAGGGCCACTCTATGTCAAAGTAAGCAGCAACATTTGGGCTGTTCCTGAGAACAAATCCTCAGCTGCCTCAATGCGCTACAAAGCCAAACCCATGTGGAGTGAATGTAGAAGGCAACACTTCAGACATTCCAGCACATCCTCCCCACATGCCTCTGCCAAACAGAGGCACAAGGAAGCAGGAAGAGCTCAGCAGCAATGCTTCAATGGCTTTTGAGGTGTAAGGAAAGAGCCAGCTTTAAGCTCAGGCCCTGCATACCCCGGGCTGGGCTAAAGCCAGGCAGTTGGTGCCTCAGGGCAGGCAGCCGACTGGGAGCTCCCAGCAGAGCACAGCTCCTTGTGAGAGCCTGCCTGCTGCTAGCATTTACCTGGTTGTCATCATGCTCCAACCACATTTGAGGTTGTCGCTCCATGTCCTTCTTGAGCTGCTCCCACTCCTTATCCAGCTGCTTCTGCTTACTGAGAAGTTTCTCCATTTCAAGCTGGTAGGAGGCTTTCAACTGCCGCAGCTCATCCCGCCTGCACTCCAGCTCCTGCCACCCTTTCTGGATCTCCTCCTCCCTCTTGGCCAGTTGGATTTCCAGCTCCGCCAGCTTCTTCTCCCGTGCTTCACACTCCTTCTCTGCCCTCTTCTTCTCCTCCTGGTGCTGAGCCTGTTGCTTCTTCAGGTTGGCGAGTTCCTGGCGCTGCTTCTCCAGGTTGCGCTGCTTCTCCTGCTCCAGCAGCGAGGCTGGGCGGAAGAAGCCTCGGGACAGGGCCCTCTCACTCAAGGCCAGCTTCTGGCCCTCGATGTAGGTGTCCTGCTGTAGGACAACGCCCTGGGAGGGAAGGAGGGAGACATCACTGTAGGGCCCACTCCAGGAGGAGCAGCTCCACATCCGAGCAATCAGGGCACCACCAAACTGCAACTTTTTCTACCATGTTTAGCATTCAGCTGAGGATGCCGTAATGGCAGCTCTGCCGGTCGAGGTCTAAACATCCACCTGCAGCTTCCCAAATGGAAGCAGCGTGCCAGGCAGCAGCTGATTACTGTTGCTGTGCCAAGAGGCTGAACACAAATCTGCTGCAGGGTATTGGGCCATGCAGGAGTGGGGAAGAGGAAGGGCTTCTGGACTGTGTCCAGGCCTAGGGCACACAACACAAGAAAGGTGTGGAGCTGCCAGAGCGGGTTTAGAAGAAGCCATGAAGATGCTCAGAGGGTTGGAGCAGACTGAAGGAGCTGGTCTTGTTCAGCCTAGAGAGGAGAAGGCTCCTGGGTGAGCTCATTCCATGGTTTGGGCAAGCAGCGTATGGAACCAGAATGAGAGGGCAACATACCTGCAGAGCATTGAGCAGCTTACAGAGGCTGGTAACACTTTGAAGGACCTGCTGCAAGAAAACAAAAGCACTGTTATTAGACATCATGTGGTGCTAGGGAAGTAATAAAGCAACTTCCTTTTCCACTGTGACCCACTGGTGAGTCCAACCCGCATGGCTGCCCCTCTGTACCTTCTGTTTTTCTCACTCATCACCTGCAACAGTTCTATCATTCCCTGGTACACAGCCCTCTTTCACCCTGGCAGACCCACACAAATCGTTTTACAGGAAAACTGTAGAGCAGCAGACACAGAAATATAGCAAGTATACTAAGGAAGGATCCCAGAAAACAGGTACATGCAAACACTTGGTGCACTGCCACGTAGCCAAGAGCAAGACACTTTGGAGTGATGCTCTAGCCCAAAACATATGTTTAGCCCAGCTAAAAAATTCTCTGAATCTCAGTTATCCACCTATTGAAGAAGAAAAAAAACACAGAATAAGAGGAAAACACAGTGGTGTTTGCAATATTGGTGCTATAGCCAGTGTTAAGAGAACAGCTTCTCATTCTGACTTTAATGCTAATTGGAGTTATGAATGTGTATCAAAGGAAGAATAGAAATCTAATTGCCCCAAATCACTGCACCTGCAACATAAAATTAAACTCCCTCTGTCTGCAGATGCACAATAAATACAGTCCTGCACATCCTAGTGGTAATTAACCCCTGATGCCTATAATCAGCACATATCATCCCGCTGGCAAGCAGATGACAATTAGCAAATTCCCTGTCTGAACATCCAAGGTTAAACAAATAAACGACACAGTGGGTTCAGCTGAATGTATTTAAAAGCCCATGTGTGCTCCAGCTAAAGTAATGTCTTTTCTTTTACATTATCACCTATTGAGACAAATTCACTTATCACTTAAACGAAGAAAACAGCAACAGAATCGATTCTTACCTCGCTGTTTCTTTTCAGTATGAACATCAGGCTAGCATTTCCAGCCTGTGAAAAGATCACACTTAATATGAGGACAAATGAGAAATCGTAACAAACGTGTTGTGAAGCTGAACTAATGACAGATGCATTAACCCCCCTCCCCTCCACGTTCGATTCTGGGACGATTCATGTATGTTTTCAGGTGAGTTAGAATGGCATCAAATCACACATTAATTAGGTATCATTTGGAGTTATGTGATGAATCGATCCCCAGGAAGAATAGGTGCAAGGCTCCGTGTGACCCTGTCATTTTAATAATGATGCAAAATTAAACACTCCAGCTGTTCTGCAGACAGATGGCACAGCCTCTGCCATAAAGGAATACCATTGATTTTAAATGCTTCTCAAGTCAGGATTTTAACTGCAGCAGTGTTTTGGACTCCATACTTCCAATTTGATTTTATATTATTAGGATACAGCTCCTTGCCAACAAATTCAGGCCTTTTTCAAGACTTGAATTGTCATCTTCTTGAACTCAGAGCAGCCCCATAGATAAATTGTGCAATACCTTCTTTAAAACACCATCTGACTCTGTTCTCCGTAGGTCCTGAGCATCGTCGCCTTCATCCTTTGTTCCACCTAAAGCAAGAAGCCAGCATTGACACTGGTTATTCAACGTTTTAAGCCACAGATGAACTTGCCAGTATCTGAGATTTCATACAGACAGCTGGGATGTATCACATGAAGGGCCACAGAGCTCTCTGCACTTCAACCAGATGTGTTTGCTTTCTTCATGCACTCACTGTGTGAATTCAGACAAAGGCTGACTTTGGTTTCAAACAGTGTTCTGATAAATTCAACATACACCTTTCCCTTGTGCTCTGTCTAGCCCCCAAAGTGCTTTCTGCAAAAAAAAAAACCACCAAAAAACCCACCCACATTTACATTTGCTAACAAGTCATGAGGCAGAACAAAAGCAGATGGAGAAAAACAGCAATATCATCTCAGAGTGTATTATTGCAGGCACAGTTTCAGTGCCTCTCTGTCCAAATGTAATTTACAGCTGGGTTAGACTGCTGTGCAATACTGCTGTGTGATTTTATGTTAACAATTCCTCAGTAGTCTTAGTCATCAGAAACCTCTATCTTCAAAGGGATACTGGACATCTCTGTCTAGCTTCTCCCTGCATGGCTCCTATCACTGTTCCCAAGCACTGAACTGACTCATGGGGCCAGGAGGGCTGCAGCCATCACAGACCCATTTTCTCACTACCTTTCTGAGGCAGACTTTGCTACTTAAGACTGACCCTCACCCTCCTAACAGACCTTTTTTTTTGCTGCAACTCATCGTGGGGCCTTCCACAGCTGAATAAACAGCCCATGCTTTATTTTCCTAACATCTCCCAAGATCCTCTAACTATTGAACTACAATCTAATTCAAAAGATGGTGTTTCTAGGGGAAAAAATATTAAAAAAAAAAAAAAAAAATCAAACAAAAAACAAGCAACAGAAAGCAAGGAGGGGGGAGAGTGCTGGGCAATGAACAGCCTGAGGTTGTGCCATTCATTCATCACTACAACAGAAAGAGGCCCAGCCCCGAACAACCAACCCCCTCCAGCCCTCAGCATGAATATATTTGTCACGATGATGACAAGGCCTGTTGAGAGCTTTGCAGCTTTCCAATAGCCGGGAAAATCTCTACATAGTTCTCATGTCTGACTGTCTGCAGCTAACACTGCTCCTTTAATGCAGAAGGTCAGACGGGGTCCAACATCCCAACGCTGAGACAGACACTAGCGCAGCAAAACTGGCTGTACTGGGAGCATGAGAGAGACCACAGAGAAAAGAATTTGAGGACAGGGAAGTTTCTGATGACTAGGGGAAAGAAAGAGAGCATTGGGAAGATGCCAACTCTGTAGCCGAAATGAATATTCAGTCATTTGCTTGAGAGAGATTAAATTGCAGGAATAACACACGCAGTTGTGTGTGGAAATCAAATGCACAGGGAGCACAGACAGAGGAAGGTGCTTGGCACAGCAGTGCCATCATCATTCGCAAAGGCAACAGCACTGGTCTCCTGCTGGAAGGCAACTGAAGGATGAAGAACAGAACTGCGGGCAGAAGAACACGAAGAAGGTACTTTTAATGAAGCCAAATGTTTGTGTGTAGCATGTAAGTAAAGCAGGAAAGATGATTTAGAGAGAAAATAGTGAGACGGGAGCGAAAAGTTCAATCCTCACATAGCCACAAGTTCTCAGCTACTATTTCACCTGTACCTTTTTTCCTAATCTGACATTTAATCTACCTACTAGCATTGCAGAAGAGTAATCTAAACAGACCATCTGCTCAAGTCCTTTAGAAGGAACAGGACAGGATGACATGAAATATCATTAACAAATGCTGCTATGGGAGCACGTCACTACTTACCCTTGGAGGCATTCATCTGGTGACTGTCGAACCCTCCAAAAGTTTCTGCCCTTTTAGGAAGAGAGATGGGGCCAACTCCTCCCTCTTCGTCAATGGCAGCACTGCTGAGTTGCTGCATAAGGGTGCTGCCCAGGTTCCTGTTCACCAGCTCTTGCAGCAGTTCCACTGGGAAGATAAAATCAGCAATCTGTCTGTTACAGACCACCTCAGGCTTCTGAGCTATTTCCACCTCTATCTTCATGTGTTTCTCTATACTAAAAAAAGAAATGTTTCTACAGTGACACAACAGTATGTGTCTCCCTTGCAAAAACTCACAACAGCATTTAATAATTTTCACTCTTTCCAAAACACAGACTGAAAAGTTGTGTGAGTTTTCATTCAACCTCGCATTTGCCAGCAGATCACTTGCTCCTTGCAGACACCCTGAATACCTGCAGGAATTGGAGTCCCCCCAAACCTTGCTGAGTCCAAGGCACGGTGAAAGACAGCATGGTCTGTATTTCAGACAAGGATGAAATCTTGGGCTGTCCCTGACCTCAGATTCAACACAGGGTTGTTCTCTGTGCTGAGACTTCTTTTGTGCCTTCTTTCAACAGCCATCAATATCTGCTTCCTTTCCTGATCCTCACTATCTGTCCCTGACACACCATGAGTAGCAGTACCTGTTTATCTATGCTGTTATTCATTCACTGGGAACAAATAGGTTGCCCCTGTAAACACCGTGCTTGAGAACCAAGGGATTCACTGAAGGTGAGAGCGCTGTTTAGTGCCACGCTGACTTGCTCACCTTCATTTATTGCAGTTTTCATAATGGCTTCTCCTTTTGGTGCTTCTTCAGTGTTGGCTCTGAAGAGCAGTCTGGAGCCCGGCATGTCCTCTTGCATAGAGGAGTCTGCCAGGTCACTGAAGATTTTGGCCTTTTCCTCCAGCAAGAGGAGGATCTGTTTATCCTTCTGCTGAAGTTGTTCTGTGGGGGTGAGCAGAAAACAGGAATGAAGATTGAAAACAAAAGCTTTGGGAAGGAAGGAGAGCTATTCCTGAGATACTGGCCCCATCTAGTGGAACGCGGTGACACAGCTCTGCCCCTTGCAATCTTGCACAGCAACTGCATGCAGCATGCACAAAGCACTGAGCTGTAAACAAGGTGAGGTGCAAACAAGGACTGCAACCATTTGCTGGATGCAGGACCCTCATTCCCCTGAAAAACTTCAACTGTGCACATGGGAAAGGGCCAACAAAACCCACTGCAACAATTGCTGTAAACTCCTGAAAACTTTTTTCAAGCTCTGTCCTTGGCAGTTCCTTACCTTTCAGCGCTCTGATTCTTGTGTCTGACAATTTCTTTTCAAATTCAGACTCACAAGGGACTCCTTCATCCTCATCCTTATCCCTGCATGAAAGAGACACGTCTCAGTAACCATCAGAACGTGATCATGTGCACCACTCACCCTTCCAGAGCAGCTTGGTAGCTTACATGGTACTTATTGTGTCTTGAATGATCTGCATCCAGCCGTTGCGCTCTTCTTTGGAGCTGGCATGCACTTCCACCATTTCGGGATCTTTCACACCCATGCTGATCAGGAACAAACCCTTCTCTTCATGAGCCACTTCCCTTACGATGAGCTTCTTCAGAGAGATCACCGTGGATTTCTGGTCCTTCAGTTGGAAAGAAACGGCCGAGGAGAGGCCAAATTACCTCACAACAAACTAGCATTCTAAACGGCCCACTACCAGTGCAACCAACACACTCAGGCAGTATTTAAAAAATAAATATTTTTTGAAGCTGTTGGCTAATTAAAATAAGCATTTTGCTGGGGTCACAAAACAGAGAAGGGTTTGCTTTCTTCCATTATTCCTGTAAGAAGACCAATTTCACTTCGGTCCATTTCAACAAGGAAGTAATTTAAAACGGAGTTTGGGGTTTTGAAAACTACCATATTTTTGCTCTATCCCCAGAAGACCTTTGATCTCATCTCCTCCTGCCCACACTCTTGAATCTGTCATTAATATTACAGTCCCTTAAATGCAGTGAAGCTTGCTAGCAGCTGCTTCACACATATTACCTTCACAGTCTCACCCTAGGATAGAGTAACACTTTATTTTCACATCTCACAAAAACCTGCCTGTTCTCAGAAGCTCACAGTGGACTCCTGCGATGGACAAGACTTGTAGGTAAGAGGGTGCTCACTGTGTGCTACAGTCTCTGTGTAAACAGCCTGCCTGGGTTAAAATACCCCATTGCTGCTGTGTGGGTGCCTTTGTGCACTTTCCAGGATGCTACACTTGGGTGACTTGGCAGGAATCACTAGCAGCACTTCTGTGCAAATCAGCTCCCTCTGTGTAGAGCCCCAGTGGAACTGGAATAACAGATTATCAACTTCCAAAATATTTCAAGGGCCAAAAGGACACGAGGCTTAGCCACTCTAAACGGTGTCTGCAAGGTACAGTCTTAACAGACCTAGTCAGCTCCCAGACGACCTCTTTCTGTAAAGATCAGTGTGCCTCAACCTTTAGGAGACTGCATTCAAGAGTGACAGTTTTGGTTTGGTGCATAACAACTGCATTCTTCTGACATTTATCTGTACGCTGCTCTGCTGAATTTACTGCAGTGGTGTTCCCTACCCCATCATAGCATTTCATAATATATGAGAACATCATCTTCTGCTAAGGTTTGTTTTCACAACGTTTGCCTTATCCCATTACTCCCCTTCCCCCCAGCTCATGGCTTCAGCTTGCACAAAATGAAAAGGAGAACGTGTGTGGAGTGGCGGGAGGATTTTAAAGGCCAATTATCAGCAGCGCCAAGGCACTGCAGAAATCACCAGGGGGAGGTGTGGAACAATGACATGTTTTCCAATTGAAAAAACAGAGCTTGCCCAACAAACAGAAATGTTCTAAGCAGGAAAATGAAGTTGTTTAGCAGGCAGCAGCTGGCTTTACTGCATAACACACGCCAAGGGACCCTCACACAGAAAAGCAAAGGAGAAGAAAAGATTGAAACCTTACCAGTGAGGCAAAGACATATTTCTGGTCCTTCTCCTGAAGGAATACGAGCATGTCAGAGAGGAGAATAGCCTGGACTTCTGCAAAAGGAAAAATATACAAATATGTGCTGAATAACCACGCAGCACACTCCTAAGCAGTTTTATCTTTTAATAACACTGGCGAAGCACAAGGGCTGGTCTGGGATCAACTCCTGGTTAGATGCTGGAAGGGCCATGTAGTGCAGAGCTGCCCTGGGAACACCCCTGGGTGGGAGGGCTGCTTTCCAGCCACGAATTGCCCACAGGTAGGACATGGCATAGCAGCAAGAACTGGAGACACAGAACAGAATTGTTTTCTCAAGCAGTCAATATTCCAGCCCACGAGCAACGTATCGGCACAGGAAGTTGGGGGCTTTATGTCTTTTTCAAAGAGTAGTTTGGGGAGTGTAAATTATTGTGCAACAGCAACATTTGTCAGCTGCAGTTTCTTTCCAGGAAACAGTGACTTCAGGAGGCACCACTAGCACTGCTCACAGACAAATAAAACCCCGGGTAACTCTGAGGGGAGCTAACAGAGCCCAGCTTGAGATGCAGGACCTTTATTTCTTGGGAGAAGGAAGCACAGCATCAAGCAATTGAGAAGATTTTAAATCAGAATACAGACATTTCCCAAAGTACATGTACAGCCTTCCAAGTCTCCTAATGACATAGCATAAAGCTGCACAGTAAGTACCAAGTATAATACCCCACCCATATCCCTCAGTACAAAGAGTTTTTGTACTATGTACTTGGGAAATCTTGTGACAGACAGGAAGCAAACCAAAAAGTGAAATCATCCCACGGTAATTCCTTCCATTCTGCTTTAGGCAGACAGGATCTGTTTTGGATAAAAGAGCCACCAAATTTTAATCAAAGCTGCAAAATGAACTCAAAGCCCTAGGAGGCCTGCAGGAATCAGCATCAGACTCCATTCTTCCCTATCACCATATGTTCTGTGCACTCTGCAAGAGGGGAAATGCTGAAAAAAAGCAAGAAAAAGTTCTTCCCAGATTTCTCTCTGTTCCATCTAAAGTACCACAAAATAGCCAAAGGATCAGAACCAGCTGCTCACCTACTGGGATCTATAGGACCTGCTTTTGCTGGGAACTTGCCCTATAGAAGTAGGCATTTCTGTGACTTACAAATACAAATGCAGCCTGTGCTTATCACAGTATTTCACAACAGCAGCATAACTTTCTTGATCCACCTTATGAAGTCATTAATAAATTTGGGAGCTTGGAAAACAAACATAAACTTCCTGTTTCCAAAACGTCAAAATCAATCATACCCGATTTGAAATTGCTGTCAAAGGCTCTCAGGGCAGAATAAGAAGTACTGGAGATACCAATCTGAGGAGCAATCCTGTGCCTGGAGAGGGAAGCATTACCTTTCAGCCGTCCGGCTGCATTTTTCAGTGACACAGGCCCGTCTCGGATGAGCTTCCGGTGTTTCAAGTCCTCTCTTGCAAACATCTGACCACTTTTCATCCTCATGATGGACTTGCTGTCTGTCCGGTTGTAAATCTCATCAAGGCGCATTTTCTTTTCATAGTTACTGACTTTGCTATTGACTGCAGCAATCACATCTTTAACAAGGTTTAATGACTGAGTCAAGTCTTCATGTTCCACTTCATTTTCTTTGAACAGAAAGAGAAAGATTTCCATCTCACTTTATCCTCGTGGACATCTCTGTTTTCCCTTTGCTTCCTTCCCCTTCCCCCTCTCAGATTCCTGCATTATAACTGTTTAATATTTTCACAACAGGTTGCATCTTTCCCTCCTAAGGAGAGCTTCACAAAACCTTTCACATATACAGCTGAGGCTGGGAGCTGTTCCAATATACTTTAAGACAGTAGATATGAAACGAGCAAACTAACCACATATTTCAGCTGTTATAAAAAAACTAAGCTGGAAGACTCTGGAATCTGAGCGTGCTGGCTCTGTAATTAGCTAGAGATAGACTATGTCAGTGAAATCAAGGCACCTGGTCAACTAACACTAAACAGAGAGAAGAAATCTGGTTACCCCATTATATCAGGGTGACACAGTGATTGGATTAGACTGCAATTCTAAGAAAATCAATGAAAAAAAGGGTCCTGGAAACGCACACTGGATGAGCAAATCCATGCTTAGGAAAGAACTGGCCCCTACCTGTGGTGTACTGCAGTATCCTCTGTAAAAGAACTGGGTACTTTGTGATTCTCTGCGTTACCAACAAGATACATTCAGAAATCCCAAGACGTCTCACCAAGGAGGAACTCATTTTTTTCTAAGAAACAAAGATGAAAATTTCAATTTGTAACAAAACACTCAATGGAGCACAGGAAGGAAATATTTTTTTTCCCCATTGACTGTTTCTCTTCCACCAGGTCCTACCTTGACAAAAGCCTGGAAACGTTTGTCCTTTGAGTGCAGATCTTTAAAGTAATTTACTGCCTCATTGTGGTGCCCGCAGAATTTGCCGTATGTCTTCTTCATTCTCTCAGCGTTCTCTCCGGAGAACTGCAAGACAAGAGATTAAAGATCCAACCTCCACTGAGCTCCTGGTGTAACATCCCAACAGCTCCTGTCAGTCTTTCGGAAGAGTTTTATGAAAACAAATTAGTACAAAGTTCCCTAAGCCAAGAAATTAAATCTCTAGAAAGTAACGAGCAGAGTCTGTGAATTCACTGCATTCACACTTAGCACAAAATCTGGGACTGCACCTCAACAGAGTTTACAAGCCAAAAGAGAGCAAGTTAGAAAAAAGGAGAATGGGACAAAACACAGATAAAGAAAAGTACAAGAACCCACCCTAAGTTAAATATCTTCTCTGTACATCAGCCAAGAAACATGCTGCACACATTTCATTGCCGGCTACTGCCTGCCCTGCTGGCCACGGGTCAAACCATGTGGTGCCTCTGTTAGCAAATGCTTCTCTCTCCCACAATATAAACAAAATGAATTTTCATCATTACACCTTCCTCCGAAAGAGCAAAAAGTGCTTAAAAAACAGAGGTAGAGATTTTTGTCTGCGTCTACAGGTGCCATCAGGTACAGCTGCCTAACACATATAAACAGGAGGCAGGGAGGAGTGAGAACTCAGGAGCACTTGGCTTCCAGCTACGCTTTCAGAAGTGCAATTATTATCCACAGCTTACCTGATTCACCAGGATGTCACCGATCCTCTTGATAACAAAGTTCTTTTCACTTTTGTCTGCCAATGACTCCTTCTTCCTTTCCAGAATCCGCTGGAAGAACTGACTGTGTATGTGCAGCAAGTTCTCCAGGCAGGGAAAGATCTTGTCCACAACTTGCTGATCGTACTGCAGCTCCTGTAACATCCCTGCACTGTATACGTCGTTCATTATCTTCAGGGTGCGGACATGATGCATTTCTGTCTGCATGAGCTCTGCATAGGATTAAGACAAGGTCATGGTAGAGAACTTGGGTGCACAGTACGATGAAAAACTGTCATTAGGAAGCTCTTCCAAGCAAGCTAATCGGGCTTCTCTAACTGTTTTCAGAAAATCCCACATCAGGTGTTTAAAATATCAACTAACGTCTTTGCTTGTGGCAGAAATTTGGGGCAGAGGAGTCAAAATAAAGAGCCACAAGCAGGTGTGAACCTTGAGTACTGTTACTTCTTCCTGCATTTCACTGTCAAACTCATTATTATTAATTTCTGTCATGCAGGATGGATTTTGTATCAGGGAGCAGAGGACTTGCTACCTAGCTGCTGTGCTGTAACTGAATTTAAACATCATCAGCAGCCAAAAAGAAGAGGTGTTCTCTATTTATTTTTTATGGCTTCCAGGTAAGTGAAAGGCAGAAAGACAAAGCTTTCAAAGTACACATTGTTTCTAAGAATTTCAAGAATGACACTTTGGCTACTGAGGAATCCAGTTCCTATTCAGTGACATAAGGTTTCTTACATACAGGCATGTGGATATATCAAGAAACCACCTAAAACAAGTGAACAATGAACATCCATGCACGTCTCACCATAAATTACGTCTTGCCGTTTGACAACATCCTTGTTTTGCTGCTGTAGGAACAGGCTGTCCACTGCTTGGCTCCAGGACTCTGCCTCCAGCTGCTTGGAATCTAGTTCCAGGTCTCCCATCAGCTGCCCTTCATTCATGTCTGCACCTTCACAAAGCAACACAGATGTGAACTGCTGCAGGTACTGCTGCCGAACACTACAGGCATTACATCCATCAATGCAACATGGCATTGCAAATGGCAAATCTTCTCTGTCCCCACAACAAAAAGCCTCATACCAGTATAAAAAGGCATGTTCTGTATGTGGCTGTATGAACAGGCCAGAGGAACAAAACGAAAGTGGAAATGTTTGCCTTCAAGCTCAATTCCAAGTAACTCAACTGTAACTGAAAGCTTCTAAATGTTTTCCCACAATTCAATAAGAAATTACTGTGTGGTACCTTTTTTTTTTTAAAGTTATCACAGTAACTTTACATTAAATGCACTTTAATTGTCCATTAAAAAGAAAAACTCAAGTTGAAATGTCAAACTGGATTTTCTATTTTCGGAAAGCAGCGCAGACCTTCCTCCTGCTGTAAGTGCCATGGGATGTCTTACCTTCATCAACTAATGATTCAGTGGATTCATTCACCCGGCTAATTTTATGTAAAGAGTCTGTGGACTGTGACAGAAATTTCCAAGTGTGTATTAAGCTGTCATCATTCCCAACCCTGAAAAAGAACAGAAGACAGGATATTGTTTACAACCAGACCTGCAGCTCTAAATGACAGCGCTTCTTCTCTACAGAATCACACCTCAGGTTTTATGGCTTGGGTAACGGTTTTTCATCGCTTTCCATTTTACACTGTCACTTCCCATCCTCATTGTTATTGGAGCAAACCATGAAAAAATGCAGTACAAAAGGCTACCTAGGAGTCTGCACCACTTGCTCTGAGCAAGATCCAAAAAATGGACTGAAATAAGTTTCACCATGAATAACCAGGGCATGCCAATTGTTCAGAATGCCCCAATCTATGCTATCACTCTGTTTGTAGAATTACTCAGTGTGCAGCTAGGATAGGAACCATATATTTTATTTTCTTCTGTGACTTTCCGTAGTTAATATGCATAGCACATTCCTAAAACGTTGTGAAGACTGCAGCTCTGTGCATCCACCCCACCACTATGGACACAAAAAATAAATACTATGCCTGAGCTGCAAAAAATATGTGATCGCACAGTTCCAACCCCAAGGCCAGTTGGCTTCCTGGATCCCAGAGCATCTGTGTGAAGTGGTCCTTAATATCACCAGGCCAGCTCAGACACTTCTCAACTCACGCCACGATTAAACCTAACCCAGACAGTCTGACTGTGCAGAAGACAGCTGGTAGTATCATATATAATATGGGCACTTCTGGTGTTGCGATCCTCTTTTGTATTTTTGACACAGATCACACGACAGAAGCTTATTTTTAATGCAATCTGAACTTCTCCACGCTCACAGCAGATAATCCCCATGCACCCCAGGCACAACCCTTACCCTGCAATGTTCTGTATTGAGACACTCTTTGACAGCGCCGTGGGCTGCTGTGATCTCCTGTTGTTGAAGATGGAGGTGACGGTGTTCTCATCGGGAGCGAGTATCGCGGAGCGAGGGCGCTCCTTGGGCTGTGAGCCTGGAAGGGAAGCACCAGACAAAAGTCAGCTCCTGCAACTGTGTTCTTAGCTGCAATGATGGAGTCTTAAAGACAGCAGGTTCTAAAATTCCCTTCCTTTTTGCTCTAGAGTTGCCACTGGAAGATCTGCAGCTGTTAGACACTACAGGGAAGCCTGAGCCTTCCGCCTCTCCCTTGGCACTCCTGTGCTATTGAAGCAGGACCTGGTTAAAGCAAAGCTCCCGTGCTCTGCCCAAGACAATCTAGAATTTGTCCTAGATAGTAAACTTGAGTTCCGGATGCTCAAATGCTTTTAAACAAAATTTAGCCATCATGCATATACAGCATCAGTGATCAGATCTACCTGTGAGACTTCATCGTCCTTAGACCTAACATGCTTAATTTATTTCTACTGTGCAATAAGAAAGCCAACCAGCTTGTTAATTGTGATCTTTACTGTGACTGCTTTAAGTCCAGCAGTGTTTCTGAGCAGAAAAGCAGTGATTAAGATCTTCTCAACAAAGTAAGCACTGCTGTATTTCAGGCAGGAAAGAACATTGACCCTTTTGCTGAAATGACTGCACTATATCTAACAGATTTGGCTGGAATCTCCAAGTCCAAAAACATACACTTGGGAAACCAAATGTAATGTTATTCAATAAATAATCAATCACATGTAGCAATCTACTGTGTTGGCTTTAATTTCTCTGGGCAAGGAGATCCTGTGGTTATAGCCATCCTCCTGCTTCTGGTCGCATCTTCTGATAGGTTCTTCCATTCGTATATACTACAGAGTAACACTAAACCCTTTCTCATACTATCACCTATCCGTGACAAATCCTTTCATCTTAACTCTACATTTTCCTTTCTTCAGATGTATTTATGGTTCCTAGAGCCTTTCCTCTGAATTTCATGATGAAAACCACAGTGGGTGTGACTATATGATACAGCATGATACTGCACAGTGATCTAACAAGCTACCACTAACTGAGCTTATCTAATTACGATGCTCCAAAACTCATGTGGGCTATTTCATTCCAGTTCTTTGCCACCTGTCCCTCTGGGTAGCTCAGCAGCACAGCATACACCTCAGGGCAGCTGTACAAACTTTGTCAGTGTTGCTCCTATTCAGAATTTAACTTCTTACTTTTACTACCTCAAAGCATAGCACTAAACCATCTGTGCAGCTTTCGCTTAACTTCTTAGGTCTCAAATAGTGCTTACCACGCAGAGAAGATGCACTCATCCCTGCTCTATCTGCTTAATCAGTCACAACAGGAACAGCACACAGAGACCATCACCAAAAGGGAGAAAAAGGAAACTTTACCTTTGTTTCTCATGGTCACTGTGGGTAATGAAGAGGTATCATGTGCCTGCAGCATTCCTCTCTGTGGCTGAAAGAAAAAGGAGATTCACTTTAATTTTTCCTCCTTTCTCCCATGGGGCCGTGCCACATAACTACAATTAAAAAGCACGTCTTCAATGAATCCTCTCAGAACAGAGCAGTTCTCCAATACGTATAGTATAAAATGGTCAGCAACTACTGTTGTTGCCATGTATGAAATGGGCAAAATAAACAGTAAAGTAAACAGTAAAATGGAAAGAAAAAGGGCTGGCAACTGAAGGGAACAACAGAGGAGGCGTTCTTAGCTTGTAATGGTACCAGCAATAACTGGCTTGGGGAGTCATGCTGCAGAAGAGGCTTCTCACATTTGCCCAGATTCTGCATATCCCTCATATAAACAGCATACATATTTAATACATTTCTCATCATGCATTATGTATATGCATGTGATGCTGCATAAAAGGATGTAGTACTCAAAAATGAAGAGATGCTGCATTTACAGGTGTTGGGTAAACCTCAAGTTTTGTCAGTGAGAAGCTTTCTTTAATCATATGCACTGATCATATTACAGGTGCACAGGAAGGATGCTGTTTGCTCTGGGAATATCTAGTTTCAGATTTTGGATACCCTCACAGTTTCTTCATGCATCACTTCCTCCCCAGGTCTGCTGCTGTCTTTGCTCCTCACTGCAGACCACCCTCAGATGGTGTATATCTGCAGACTGAATCATTTACAGTTCCTTCTTATAATGCAGTAAAGTAGATGATACCACTAACCTTCATTTTCACCTTTGCACAGGAAGCAAAGCTCTCCTTACAGCCTTTGTGAACAATTGCATTGCAGTCTGTCAGAAGAAAACAGATAAGAGTTATTCCTCTGAAAGAAAAGTAAGGGGGAAAGCAAAAACAGGAGACAAACAGAAACCAATGGTAGTGCCAACGTGTTCTCTGCAAATACAAAGACTGCTCTTATCAAGACCACGTCAGTGGGATGGCAAAAGGCAGGGAAAATCAGGGAAATTAATTTTCCTAAATCCAGATATAGCAAGCCTAGATCTGCAGTGCAGGATCTGAGTTCTGTACGATAACATGAACAGAAAAAGAAACAGGAGCTTCAGCCAGGTGACAGCAACTGCAGGGCAGGGACTGAAAACTGCACTGAAGTCACTGCTTTGAGCTGAGACCACGACATTCAATGCCCTGAGCACCACTCTTTACATCTGTGGTTTCTATAAATTTGTGAAAACATGCTAACACAGCCCATGGACTGTTTTAAGTGTAAATTACATTGCAAGTGTACAGCTCTGAATTATTTCTAAAAGAAACATAAAATTAAAGGAAAAAATATCCAGGAGTGGACTTATAAAATATTCTCACACTGCTAGAATTTCTTAAATTTAGGGCTACTTCATAAAAGCCAGTAATTCTTCTGATATTTTGTGAAAGGTAAGAGCAAGGCTTAGGATGTTGCTGTTCTAGTCAATGTCCCACAACTTCCTGTGTATACGACAGACAGAAACATACATGGCTCTTGCAAAAACCCACAAGCAATATCACTGTTAAGATGAAACAAAGAAGAGGAACAGAACTCACTGCTGGTATTTAACACCGAAATCAAACAAAAAGAGGCAGGGAGACAATTCAGAGCCCTTAAATTCAAACTCAAAAGCCTTGAGAACATGAAGTCTGCACCTTACAGCATCCTACTTAGGAGCAAAGCATTTTGCAGTTGTCACAGCACGCTTCTGATGAAAAATCTGGACTTTACTCCCCCAGCTAACTCAACCTTTCAGCAGACAGGAAGTTCTTCCAGCTCTTTACTATCAGTGGTATTAATAATTAAAACCCCAAAAGCCTCTTTGCTGCATCAGTAATTATAAAAAATAAAAAACAACACACAGACCAATTAAAAAAATTATTTCCCTTTCATTGCAGAACACATTAAGTCATTCAGCATTGGCTGTTCGTGAAGAGGGGGTGCCACTGAAAGGTTCAGATGTTGACTAACAATGAGTCAATCCTTGGAAAAACATTAAGTCACCTACAGGTGAGACAACAGCAATGATAGCAGTGCAGCACTGTCACTGCTGCTGAAAAGAAATGTACTACAAAATGGCATGCAAGCGAGGGAGCCTCTGCTGCTGGTTATCTGCTATTTTCAAGGCACCGAGGAGTTTATTTTAGGATGTGGTGTGACAACACACCACGCTCAGATGTACAGAGTAACAGTCAGCTCTGACCAAACCTTCCTTGTGACAGTCATCTTCTGGGCAACGCAGAAAAAAATGCAATAATTTTCTATTTAAACTTGGAAAATGATGATATGATGTCTCTACTAAAACATGGCGTTGTTGGATTATTTTAACTCACTCGGATATAAAAGATAAATTGTGATACATCTTCTAAGTGACTTAAAGTAGAGTTAAAAACGTAGAGTGAGGAAAGGGGAAGGATGCATCTGAAAGCCTGTAATTGATGCTGCTTTCCATCTCTCATCAGGTAGACACAGAGCATTGCTCACGCAAACAAGTTTGATGAAATCTCTTCCCTTTCAGGAAGCTTCAAATTGCCTCTGGAGATTCAGCTAGCTGCTCCTTCCCCTTCCTACTTAAGATGTTTTATGCATGATCAGTGTGAACAAATAGAGGCAGAGCCTTTTGCCCCAGCCTGACAGCAATGCTGGTACAGGATTTGCCTCTCATCTCTAGGCAGACAGAGACGATATATTACTAATAGTGAAGAAGTGACAGTCTTGAGCTGCAGTGAGAACATATTCTGCAGTTCTGAGTCACCAAATCAACTGGTTACATTCTGGTTGTGACCACACAAATGCCACTGACCTGATCAGTTATAGGCCTGAGAAACCATATGAGAAATGAGGAAAAAATGACCAAGCTCATAGAAACCCCATTTCTTTTTTGCTGCGTTTGTTTTTGCTCCGACAGTTACTTGTTTTCAAACAGGATTGTACTAATAAAAGATGCAGTTGCTGTACTGCCTACACTATCTTACAAGTATTTCACACGTCACATGATTGGTGATTGATTGGCATTACATAAAAATGGAGAAAAATGCTAGCATTTCCTTTTTATATTATGCTTTCACTAAGGGCTCACTGAAGCAGTGTTTCAGATTACTCAAGTACACACAGCAATATAACACTGATGGGTGGGACATCCACTGGAAACAGCAGCTCTGATCCAAGATAGCTTTCTCTGTACAGCATCAGTTTTAACAGAGCACCTCAGCCCCAACCCAAAACACACAGCTGAAGCAACCCAAGTTCTCCAGCCCACTGACACATCCCGCAAAGCAGAGGATGCTGCCATGCAGGAGCTAGGCAGGAGGCTGCAGGACAACTCCATGTGGCTGTGATTCACTTCTGCACAGCTTCCATAAGTCATTACCACATGAATTCCCACCCCCAAAGACTCCTTCCTGCCCCACCTCACCATTGCTTAAACATGGCAACAGTACAGCACTGGGTTCATGTTTCCCAATTCAGATTCAATGCACAATAAAAACAGAAAGGAAAACAAAACTTACTTGCACAGTAGTACGAATCCTTATTGAAAGGTTTCATACAGTGGTAACAGATTGCTTGGGCTACAACGGAGGTTGCAGTGAAGAGATGTCCATTTAACATCTTCTTATCTTTTTCCTTTTCCTTGGAATCTTTGTCCTTCTCTTTAGTCTTCTCTTTATCTTTCTCTTTTTCCTGCCACAAGAAAAAGAATGAAAGCCTTGTTACTTTGCAGAGGTCTATCCTCCAGTTACAAATTCTTCAGTGTTTGCCTTCAGCACGATGACGATATCGATCGGTGCACACCGTAACAGTGGCCTACACAGCTCCCCAGCAGAAAGAAAACACACCCAGGGCCCCACAGAAATAGATTTACATATTACTGATTTGTAGAGCCCTCTGGACGGGAATCTCATTCAAGGAAATGAAACTGAGTCTGCTCTGAAGGCAGCTGTGTTTGCCCACCTTTGCCTTCTTACATTTGCTTGGGTTAATGACTTACCTTTTTTCCTCCATTTGGGCTCTAACTGAGGCCTTCAGAACTTTCAATAAGCTTTATTAAATACCACATTGTACGTATGCCATGTACAATGCATGTCCAACTTACAAATAATTTTTAAGGCTAGTTCTAAGACGCTTGCTTTGCACTGTACGTGTCATGAGAAAGCAACCCCTTCTATGACAACAGCACAGCACCACTGCCAGATTATCCCTCCTTTTTCCTCCTTACCAGCAGGGACAGCTTTTTTCAAGAGCTTCACACAACCCAAAACAAACAAAGCCAATGATCTTTCATCTCAAAATACGGCATTACATAAAGACTGAGGAGCAACAGCAACACTGAAAAAAGATTATCCCTTCAGGAAGCCAAAGTTCCACCCTCTGCCCAACTGTCGCTGGAAAGATGTTAAGCACAGGCAGCTTCTCTGATTTTCAGTAGTTTTTTGTCTATCTCTACCTGAGACAGAAGCTTGCTAACTACTAAGTGTGAGAAATGTCCCCTGAGACATTTCATGGATTTAGAGATCTCCCAAACACAGCCTGTCATCTAATTTTTGTAGGAAACTCCATAGAAAAACTCAACATTTGAATTATAGTGACTCCTCACATTTCTATACGTAAAATGTTGTTCTTGCTATTCATCTCCAAATCTGTATTTCAACTACTAATGAACATTCTATGGCATCTCTAAGAGAAGGCCAACCTGAAACTGACAAATGCTTCTGTGAGCTTAACTTTGCATTTTGTTACTTATATGCCACACGTAAATATTCCACAAGAGGAACCTAAATATTGGAGAGCTGCAGAGCGCTCTGTATGAGCAACTGCCAAGAAGCAGTTAAAAGAGATATCGAGCTCTGCAGCCACCAGGAGGGAAACTTTTGTGCCTTTGATGCTTAAATAATCAGTAACCGAGCATAAAGGCTGCCCTCTCCCAGCACAGCCCAGTTTCTTCCTGCAAAGCCTCACGGACACAAATGCTATTTACTGATCCCAAACTTTATACTGCAAAAAAGCTTTCTTTCTTTTTTTTTTTTTTTTTTTTTTTTTTTTGCATTGAAGGATGAAATAACTGCCTGAAGGGGAAACCTGCAAGAAAGAATATGCTTTGTAGACATCTCTGCCTCCTTGAGCTATCACCATCTCACCACCATCCCACGTTATCCAACGGCCCACCTGCCTACCTCCCATCAAGTCCAGCCTCATTCAAGAATTAAAACTGCAGCTAAACTCTTGGTGATGGCACCAAAAGGACTGCCAGAGACGTGCACTACTGCCAGGATTTGTGAAGCCCCAGGACAGAGAATCACACAATGCTCCAGGCACACCTTGTTTCCACTCACAATGCTGAAAAGAGATCCACCATCCTATGCTTCAAATGTGCCCAATGCTTACTGGAAAGCCAAGCAATTCTGCAGTCTGGAATAATATTCTTCATAAAATCACTGTAAGAATTATTTGAATTTAAGCTAAACTACTTGGTGAGAAACAGGAAATGGTGCACTGCCTTGAAGGAGCAAACAGCAAGCTCTGCACACGGATGGAGTGATAATGCTGAAATCGTGTCTCAAAATGAGATTATTTTTTGTTTTTGCTCCGACAGTTACTTGTTTTCAAACAGGACTGTGCTAATAAAAGCACTGTTCTGCTCCATCAGTGCTGCCACCGCAATTTAAAGCTCCGCTTTATGGTGAATCTGAGGGTGCATCTGTGGGTACTGAAATGCTATACAAGCACACACTAACAGATACTGCAGGCAAAGACCCTTAGAGTTTGATGGCCCCAAATAATGGCTGGTACAATGCAGCAGCCAGCCCCACTACAAAATAACCACCAAATTCTTACCTCCCAGTTCTTAAGTCCTACCAGCTTCACTGTGACGAGGGGCACCTCCGAAAACCGATGCCTTTTGATGGACATTCTGCCCCCGGGGCAGTAGGGCTCCCAGCAGAGCTAGCCCATGGTGGCAGCCAGCAAAGGGTTGAGCAAAAAGGGGAGAAGGGCGGGCCGACTTCTGCTGACTTCCTCGAAGATGATCTGAGCTACTTTGCTTTCACCCTGCTCTGCTCTACCTCCCACTGCTGAAAAAAAATTAACTATGGGCAGGAAAGGATGGGGTTAATTATTGAGGTTGCAAGTCAGCCGGGGGCCTTGCTTTTAAAACGCAGATAAATTGGTCCAACAGAACTCCTCTGTGATGTCTGGGATATATAAAAAGTAAAAGTGAACACACCTCAGTGTTGCAACGCTGTACTTCAGTACACAAAGTACCGCTGAAGGTTCCCTATATTTGCACTCCTCCTGCCCCATGGGTCCTTCCAAGCATTCACAGTCCCTGCTATAAAACCAAGCGCTGGTACAACGCTGCCCACGAACCACACAAGTCAAGGAGAAATTACTCATGCTAACCTTTATGTCGTCATTTCCCAGAAACTCTCTGCCAAAAAGGAAGAAGAATGAGTTCTGCTAACTGACGGGGACGCAGAGGATTGCAGACTTTAAAAGCGTGAAGCAGTGCGTGCTGCTGATTGCAAGAGATTCACTGACTAATCCCTACGTAACATTCAGCATACGGGTAAATACACACAGACGTATACCAGCGTCCTCACCACAGTTAATACTCCAAACGTCCTTTTTTTACAGAACTTCCCCAAAACTCATTTTCAAGAAGAGCCACTGCCACCAGTATTCCCCAAAGTGCTTTATTTTACGGTTAGTCTTAGAAAACTATGCATTTCTGGAGCCAGGTTTGGAGAAAAGCAAAACCTAGTTGGAAAGAACTTGCATTCTCCCTCTCCCTGCTGACAGCCCAGACAGCAGCAGAAACCAACTCTTCCTGTTCAACTTCCTCTTTCAAGGTTTGCTGTTTTTCTTTTTAAATCTTGCAGGTTTTAATCAGCCCCAAGGTTTGAGAATTCAGCGTTCCCAAGAAGTCTTACGTTGAATTATTTAAATGTTCTGCTGAAGTCCTAAGATGCACGTAGCACAAACATCTCACTAAAAGCAGAAGAGAAATTGTAATGTGGATATCATGGCTTTCTCGTTAGCCAAAACATCAGAACTGCTATGGACTGCAATTTTGAGTGTATGAGTGATGGTTGGCAGTTTGGAGTAATTCTAGTTTTATTGATAGTTTCGAACACAATCATGAACTCAGTGAACTCAAACAGATTACACTTATTTAAGAACAGGTTGATGGTTGGACTAGGTGATCTCTGTGGTCTTTTCTTGTCCTTAGTGATCCCATGATTCTCAGAAAGACACAGCAAATATCTGTCATATATTCTTACTTGTCCCAACAAAACCTGTTGTTTACATTTAGTTCTTGACTTGGAGATGGTAGACCCAAACTGCAAGAACCAGTGAATGAATTTCCAGTCTCGTGCACAGTCTGTGCAACATGAGCCACAGCTTCTCACTGGTGTATTGCACTGGCATTTCTGAGCATTTTTTTTGGATGCTGCACTGCACAGCAGAGAACAGCACTGTCTTAAAGCTCTTCAGCAGCAGCCTGGAGCTGTCATTAGCTACAGTTTGCATCTTCAAAGACAGATCCTTAAAGAGGAACTGCACATTATGGACACTGAGGTCATTACAGCTGATACCTCATTGCAATGGTGATGCAATCTTCCAAAAGTGAGCATTTAAATGTGCACCATGCCACTATACAGCACAAACCCACCTATATCACAGGAGCACAGGGTGACAGACGAAGTGCCTGCACTGGGAAATGCTAAATGAATCAGACAGGCTGCAACCCTCCCCCATAACTACATGATAGGCACTGTGCATCATGCCACAACTTGTTTCCTGTTTGCTGTTCCAACTCCCATCTGAAGATGTAGTTACGTGTTTCAGGGGCCTTCCAATAGGATTTATCAATACAGTAGTTAGGCATCAGTTAAGCACACAACGCAGACTGCATGCTGTGAGCTAAGGAGCTAAGATAGCTTCTATCTGTCAGACATGGTAAATAGGGATGAGATTAAAGAGAAAAAGATCCAAGCAACAGAAAACAACAAAAAAAACCAAACGTATATTCATCTTCAGGGGACAATCTAAAGGAAAAGTAGTCTGTTTTTGTGAAGCACTCAGCATTAATGTAATTACTTCTATAACCAGTTCTGTTCCCAGGAAATTTGACTGTGCTGAGAAAGTGGTTAACCTCCAGCAAACTCGACCCACTTCCTCCAGAAATGGAGGAAAATATAAGCAATAGCCATCTCTCAAGGTCATGGTCTGAGCAACTGAGCAGTGTGTAGAAACTTTGTGACAAAGGTAGGAAAAAAGGGGAAACATGATATAAACCTTTGGTAGCCAGCTTTTTACAGCTCCTGTCTTCGTTTTACTAAATGCCTCTCAGGCCCTGTAAAAATTAGACCCATCAATCACTGCAAAACCATAACTCATGCTAGAATGCAATCTATTCTCTAAAATGAAAAACAATTCAGCAGGGAAAAAGAGGCCAAAACATTGCACAGGAAACCTTTGCCTTGGATGCATTTTAATTTGGGGCTGCTAAAATTTCCCACACTGCTCTTCTCAAGGACCATACAGAAAATCCTCCCCTTGCAAAAGGAAAAATAAAGTCGGGTAAAGACATAAATACCACACTATGGAAACACACTGAAATACATAATTGATCTTTGCTGCCTATAGGTCTCTCGTGGCTATATAAATTACAAAAAGCACTTACCTTGCTCTTCTTGCTGCTGGACATTTTATTCCTGAGGTAGCTGAAGGTACGACTGACTTTTGTTCCACTTTTAATAGAGGGGACACTGCTGCTCTCTTCAGATATGCTAAAATCAAAAAAGAAAGAAGCAGGGTTTTATTTTCCATTTTTTCTCCCAAAGCACATATGAAGAGGATAGGTACTTTTTAAAATGCAAATGTGGTACATTTTTAAAGGACAAATGCATTTGTTATTCTGCAGGGGCATGGATTAATGTGTTACACACATGAAGGCAATAAAGGCAAAATGCCAATCAAGCAGTTTGCCACATGTTCCAAGGAAATCCTTTTTCAAGCAATCTCTATCCTCAAAGCGTGCCACAGCACCCTCTGCTGCTTCAACAGCCAAATAACAAATAACCTGCTCAGCATCTGCCTGCTTAGAGGAAAAGTCTGCCTGTCCCTTCGTGCACAGAAACATCAGCCTTGGCATTTAATTGTCAGCGTGCAGCCTATTTCAGGCTTTGGGCAGGCAGAAGGGATGGACATCTTTTAAAGGGAGATCTCCTTCCAGAGCACGGTGCATAATGACCCCTGTGAAAAGGCTGTCTGTAACAGAAACCACACCGTCTGTAAAGCCACCCCAGAGAGATGAGAATACCAACAGAAAATAAAGTGCAATGGTTATTTAGATTCAGTTACACATATTCTGGATGTCATATTTTTTCTGCCTGCCTTTGCATGTACCAGCTTATGACCTCCTCAGTTTCTACAGAAGATTAAGGAATTACACCCATTGCAGAGATCACCTCTGTACAGTTTGCAAGGATGCAAAGGAACATAAAAAAACCAAAGATCTTTAAAGAAATACAGACAGACTTGATAAAGGGAGGAAAAACTACTACTTCTAGCATTAAATACAACTCAGGTTAAACTCATTGGGTTAAATAACAGTCTGATGGATTAATCTACGAATAAAGCCTTGTTAGAGCTAAGACCTAAACCAATTTTCACACTGTATTGCCTAAAATATGCCAAGGGGCTGATTAACACACTTGACGTTTTGCTAGGAAGACTTCTGGTATTCCAATCACAGGTGAGCCAAAAGAACTGGGGAATCCCAAAACACCGTACCTCTGAACCAAGGAACCCGCGGGGCCACCAAATGCCTGAGTACCTGGAAGAGAGGAGAGATGGCAGGTGAAGGCAGTGTTAGGCTGCAGTCTTAGCTCACTGATTTAAAAACAGTTTCCATGTTTGGACAGTCAAAGAGGAGAGGGAAATGTTTATCAGAAGTGAGTGAGAGAACAGATTTCATGTGCTCAGGATCAAGTCTGTTCCCCTTACCCTTAGATGATCTCAGATTAGAAGCTGAGGTGAAAGATTGCTTAGTATTTTTTATCATTCTTCAGCTTTTAAGCAAATGATGTGTACCTGTTAACTTGGCTAGTAAATCAGAGTATCTGATACAGAACTGCCAGGGTAATCACAATAGGTATGAAAGCAAATCATTCTGCCACAATACTTTCATTGACACATCACTAGAAAGAATCCATTGTGCAACACAGCTAGGTTTCACGTACGAAACTCTTCTCCCTGATAAAATTATAGTTCATTTTCCCAACAAAATCCTGAAATGCTTTATAAAGAATAAAGGAAACAAGGGAAGCCTTATTCCATTTTCCTCAGTGCATTGCCAGGACAGAGCTCAGCCCCACAGCACTGTGCTGGATGAAGGCTGATGTGTGACAGGCTGCTGAAGCTCTGCCACTGACACGTCGTCTCTGTACATCACAAGAAAGCTGCTTGCACAACGCTTGCAAGGCAGGTCAGGTAGCTGATACCATTTACCAGAAACGTGGAAGAATACTGAAAAATGGTGATGAAATGATCTAGAGGGGAGAAAAGACCCTCTGGTTGTCAGGACTCCAAAAGCCCCCAGCTCACTGCAAGGACCACTTGCATCTTGCTGGGCTTCTGCATACGCATGTAAGAAAGCCAGCCTTTTGACTTCAAATTCTGTTAACACATTAATGCTACTGATGCACACAAAAAGGCACCTCAATGAAGAGACAAAGATCGTCCTGTATCCAAAAGTGCACTAGGGAAAACTGTGCATACAACATTATGCCTTGTGAGTCTAAACCACACGTTTTCTTAATTGCTGATTGTATCAGCACTGGTTGAGACAGGAGTGTCGCTTCTTTATTTGTGTGAACTAAAGCACTGCATAACCTAATCCCTGCTTGGAGATCTCTTGGGATCTCACCTGCAAAATCTTCCCTCTAACTAATGAGCTATCCAAAAAAATCTGATTAATACCATAACGCATACTGAATGAAGTCTCCACTTCCATTTCCTGATTATAGAGGGTTTTTTTGATACTACCTACTGCCTAATTGTCTCCTAAGATCACAGAAGTAATTCCCAGCCTCCATCCTTGGTGAGACCCCCGGAGACTCTGGGTTTTGTTCCAGCTCTGCTTTTCTTTTGCATGGGTCCACTCCTCACTCTTTCCTTTTTATAACAGCTTACTCGATTGGACTGGATTCACTATTTCACAAATCTTTCTGTTCCTTTGCAGTTAACGTAACAAATGCAGAGGAACACTGAATCAAGAGCTATAAAGATTTGATATTCATGACTGTTTTTCAGCACCTTGAGAAAGTACATTGCGTGGGAACTTCAATTACGTTCTATTTATCTTTTACTGCAGTAGTATTTTGTCTTACAAATGGGAGACTCTTGACGGGCAAAACGTATCCAGACAAAAAAACAAGGTGATGGCCTGTTTATGATTTCACAGTCCAAGTTTTAGGTTACAATTTAGCATCATAAAATCAATATTCTGCTGTGGGTTATACAGCCCATGAAGATGAGCATAAAAAAGGACACGCTCCCAGATTGAGCACAAGCATTTCCTGTCATGGCCAGCTATAAAACTGAAATGCTAAAACAGATTTCATGGCCCACAGAAGAGGTGCTTTTTCTTTTTTAAAGGTCAGAATCGCTATGTATGTCCATTGCTGTGTCAGCAGCCAAACTGTGGTGTATTTATCTAAACATCTTTTAACTTCACCATTCAAAATTACTTCACATGGTGGCTGGAACTGAAATAATCACTCAAGGTCCATTATGCAGAAAGCAGCAATAAGACTAGCATACTGTGAACCCTCAGTGCAGGCAGCAATTCAACTTCTCTGGGCCAAGAAATCCAAAGGCTTCATCACAACGATTAAACATTTTCTCAAATGCAGTCTGGCTTGTCCAGCCATCTGAAAACCATGTTTTATATACGTGATGAGATCAACATATCCATCCTCTGTGAACCTTGAAGATGTGAAGAAAGAAATAGATATCTGGGATTTTTACATGAAAAACGTCCATTTGCCACGGGGATGTTGAGTTAGCTGTAGCTAAACCAACCTTTATATAAAGTCACAACACTACTCTCAAATATGACAGAATAACACATGTGAAGGAAGCAACATTTTTGTGGGAGAAAATGTATGACCTTACTTCAAATAGCTGTCAGTAACAGAGCACAAGTAAGGAAGCAAAGATAAATACTGGCTAATAGAAATACCCTCAAAAATTGCTGTACCCTCACCCAACTGCCAGGAATTACTTCAGTGTTTGGATGCTCAAAAAGAAATACATCAAAAAGTCTAAATTTTTCATTATTTTTTTTTTTTGCCATAGCACCCCTGCCTTTGTGAGGACCACGAATCGTGAGTTTTGTTAAAGACAGCACAGAGCAAAAGGAGAGGAGAGAGCTTAAATAATGACATGGGTGGTATGATACCCAGGAAGAGCTTATAGCAAGGGACAAATCCACAGTGAAGGTTGGGAATGGAAAGGAGGAAAACTTGTACACATGCAGCAGGTATTTGGAGTGGATAGGGTTAAAAAAACTGAGTGGTCTCAGGTTCAAAAACTGACCAAAATCTGTTGGACTGGAAAGGAATTTCTCCTCTCCCACTGTGCATACAAAGGATGGAAGCTCGTATTAGAACCAGCTGATGAAGCCAGTTCTGAATTACCTCTATAGATAGAGTGTTATCCGTTCTAGTTTATTTCAGTAGTCTAATAATACAAAACACGTTTAAGAAAGAGGAAGCACCTTCAATATTTTTGTTATGTCTACTTAAGAAAAAACAAAAGAGGAAAAGGAGGAGGAGGGTAAATGACTAATTTAAGCTTCTGCCTCAGTTGGATTTACTTTGAACAAAGAAGTTTTGCAGCAGGAAGAAAAACTACCACGCATGGCACTACACAGCTTCCTGACAAAATTATTCCAGTTTTAAAATCAGGACCTAACACAAACACCTTGATGATGTTAGGTGTTTGGATTGCATTGTACTCAGTAGGGCAACCATGGAGCTGTAACCAAAATTTTCTGAATTTAGTATCAGGGCTTCTCTCTTTTCCTGTTCCCATCAAGCAATGTAGTCATTTCTCACATACAGAGGCTCTGTTCCTCCTCTTAATTCCATGTGCTGCAACAATCTCAAGACAAGTACTTTGTTTTTTATAAAAAGGTAATGACAACACTGCCAGTTAAAGTGAGTGGTGATAACATTCACCAAATGGATACAGACCAAAATTAACTGGACGAGATTCAGCACTGCTGGTGTACAAGACTCTATGGATTATAAACCTGTTATTCTGCCATTAGTTAGCATTCAGATACAGGACTAAAATAATGCTGTTAGATATCATGCGACAGAAAGGTTAGTTTAATGTTTGCAAAGTGAAACTTCAAAGTCTGAAGCAGAAAAACAGATTTCCCTTTGTTTAGACCCATAATGGCTGCAATGCACAGAAAACGATTACTTACTATCCAACTCCTCCTCCTCATCACTGGAAGAAGAGCCAATAGAAAAGAGAGTTTTAGACTTAGGAATGAGTGGAGAGATGCTGAAGGAGAAGGAGATTCGTCTCGATGGTCGAGTCCGGCCCTGGGCTGAGAAGTGGGTTAACAGCAGACATTAGAGCATGCTTGAAAATGTATTTAATAATAAAAAGGAGAGGAAAGCAGCCAAAGCAAACTAGAAACAAAGCAAAGGAAATGTCTGCAAAGCATCTGGCTTCAGAAGAGGCACAAGAAACTAAGAATTGAGAATGCGCGAACTGCAGAGGGTGCAGGTTTCAGGGGATGCAGGTCTTACTGCATGCACAAGGCAACGTTCAAGGCTTTCCTTACATTTTGCTGGCATACATTTACAGGAACTCATAATGGACAAAGGTTATCTGCCTCTCTGAAATAATTGTAAGGGAATCAAACTAAAACAACACAAGATACCAGTTTTATGATGCGTTCTGCAGTTAAATGACACCCCGCAGCTGTCAAATATAGCAAGGATACTTTATCTGAAAAGTCAACTTCATCTACCTGGAGAACTCCCTGTTTCCATTTCTTAAAAAACACAACATTCTGGTAATGTTACGTCCTTCAAAGCTTTCAGCTTTAAAACTAAGAGCCCAAAGTATCCATTACCTTTTTCTCCATCACAAAACAGAAAAAACAACCACCTCTTCTACTGTCTTCTTGTAAAACTCATTATCTTGTTTAAAAGAAAATGCCTAAACTCGAGATAAGCCCCTCTGCATCCTGCCCAGCCCCAGCCTAGGAGTCTACCAAATACAGAGCTAAACTCGGCAATCAATCTGCAACACCAGATCTCTCATCATCAGAAGGATAACACAAATGAGTTCAAATGCATTTTTTCAAATACTCTCTGCCTTCTGCTTATTTCAGTTTCTGAAGTTACATTTTTCTATTGCTATGCACACTCTCAAGGAATTGCTGCTATTTGTTTATGGCCATGCCTGAAAACTTAGTAAATTAGGATGGTTTACTGCAATTCCTGTTAAAAAAAAAAAAATTAAGAGCAGAGCACAGCATCAGCCTTACAAAAATTCTTTGTAAGTACAGGTTTCTCTGAAAAGGGATGTAGGAGCCAGCTGGCATCTCTTTTCACTGATACTGCTACACCACTTCTCATGGAGATAACAGAGCTGTACTTCCTAAAACTTCCCATCATACGATCACAGGTGGAAACCTCTGTGCTGTGATCTGACAAGCACCAGGCTGCTGAATATCCATCACTTCAACACTATGAGGGCATCTGTCCTCTGGTCATGCAAGTGAAGGGGAAGGGCCTTTCAGCCAATAATATTATTCAGCCAATGAAAATAAGAATTTAAAACAATAAAACAGTAAGAATTCTTTGCGCTGCTGATATCATACGCCAAAACTGAATTCAGAAGATGAAAATATTATCCAAAGAATATCCATGCAATGCAATCAATGCAAAGCTAACTCCCCTGAAAATTTCCTTCAGCCATTAGTCATAAATGCCATTGACCAAAAGGGTTTGACTCAAATTACGTACGTGCTTCTTCAACTTAAGTGCACACTTCTTCAAATGAAGCAGAGCAATTCTAAACTGGAACCCAGTGAAAGGCATTTAAAGTGAAGAACTTCTGAAAAGACTCAGACATTTATTTTGTTTAGGCTGCCTCTCAGAGGAGTTCATCTGGTATCCAAGATCTGAAGAACACGACCAGGCAACACCATGCTTTCTTTCTTCTGCAGTCTACTGTCTATTTAGACTAAAAGTCAAGATGAACAATAATACTTTACCGCAAATAGAACAACCTCCTCCAGCACAGTTCAATTCAACTCCCATTTGAGTGCTTTTATTTATAGCAGTTCCTGGCTTTATAACAATGCTCCATACTGGAAATTTGCTATTCCAAAGCTGAAAGCAGTCTTCCGAGCGCTCCAGCCAACAGCTCTTGTGACCTCCCCCCATAAAATGCTAAAAAACTAACAGTTGTGAATGGCCACAGCAACTCTTGGAACATCTGAGACATCAGATGGAGCGTGGGTTAGAAACTCAGTGTTGGAAACTGCTTCTGCCTCAATACTTCGAGCAGTATATGGGAACAGTAACAGAAAGTCCTCCATCTGTTTACTTGACTGGATTTAATTTTTGAAGCTCTTCTGAAAAACATGTTGCTGCCCTTATCGCTCAAACATATTTGCAGGGGTTGGGAATTCCTTTTTAAAAAGCATCTACCATAAAATGATGCAAGTGGAATGTAGAAATGTAGATAATTACATTTTCCTAGATACACCTGCGTGAAATGAAGGATTTATTCTGCATAGTTCAAAGGCATTCTTGTGCAATAACATGAATTTCAAAGGAAGGTGACAAGAATTGAGACTCCCAGAACTTCTCATGAAAAACACTAAGCTGCCAAACATGCACTCACAGCTCTCAGTAACTTTATTCCTCTTTCAGAGTGACTGAAAAAGTAATCTACTGAAGTTTCCCAAGTTAGGAAAGTATCAGAGTTGGGAAGAGACTTTGTCAAGTTGAGTAATCCTTCTGGATGCTCACTTCAGCCACCTCAGAACAGCAATTTTCAGAAACCAACTTGCTATAAAAATGAGGCTCTCCTGAGGTGCTGCAAGCTGACTATTGAAAAATTGAAGCACACAAGCATCAGTCATTTTTAATACCACCATCCAAAACTCACAGACGTGTAACCTGAAGCAGAAGACTAACCCTGCTATTTCTTCTACAGTCCCTCTAGGCATCTCGTATCTTCTTTTCCTTCTACCTCAGTGAGACCATAATGGCTAGGCTGACAATAAAGAGGGAATGTGGGACCATCAACTAAGTTGGTCTACCACCAACTTAGGCCTCAATGACAATTTTAATGTGGCTGATTTGACAGAAAAGAGGGGCAAGGTGGCAATTTCTCCTATTCCAAGGCAGTGGCACAAATCCTGGGCATGGTCCTGGGCAACCTTCCCTAGATGTCCAGACCAGGTGGCATTCAGAGTTTCCACTCCAACCTCAATCACTCTGTGAACCCTCCACTGTCATCACACCCCTCTTCTCTGAGTTTGAAGGAAAGCGTCAAGCAAGAGGGAGAACAGCATCAGCCTGCTGGGTCCTCTCAGCCTCCGAGTGTGCATTTTCTGGGAGTTGGTCAAGTTACTTACAGTGTTTGGTTAGCAACTGTGTGCAACGGCAATAAATCGGTTGCTTTTAAAAAATCATGAAAGCCTCCAGCACCAGAAGGAAAGAAGACGAGCCACAGCATGGAGCAGGAGCTGGCCTTTTCATGGGATGGATTTGCCAGTGTTTTGGTTACCGTTGCTGGGGCCACATCTGTTAAGCCACATGCTTATTAATCATGGAAGAATGATTGTAAAGAAGTTAGAAATGTCTCCTACAAACACAATCTCTGTGAGCTTCTTCCAACAGATGAATGAAATGCCTTTCTTTGAAGCACCTTTCCATGCCCAGCTTTGCAGAATTTGTGGTTCCTCCACACAGCTCCATCTGCACCTGATGTTTCCATTCGAGTTAACAACTTATTAACCTCAGCTGCACAGCACCAAAATGCATCTGAATGCCTCATCTGAGGGCGTACAGCCATCATGTAAACCCCTTGCCCATCTGCTGACTGCATGGGAAGATGCTTGGCCAACTGACCACAAAAAAAAAAAAAAAAAAAGAAAAAAAAGTGGTGGTTTGGTTTTGTTGGGGAAGCAGGGTTGTGCTAATCACAGCACATGAGCCCTGGGCCAGGCTGCTGCCCTGCACTTCTAATTGCGTGCAACAGGAACAAGACGTGTATGGCACAGCTTCAAGGAAAAAGCACGCTAATAAAGAGGAAAAGATCAGGAATCATCACCGATTGACAAGATGTGATGTAAAAAGTCAACACATTTTCTGGCTGGCAGTTAATAAAATGAAAGCATGTGTAACATGGCCCTTCCTAAGCACATCCAGCTGGAGCCTTCCGAGTGACTTTTTCAGCTGAAAGAATCAATTCAGTGAAGCTGCAAAATTAAGTGCTTTCTATTGCTTCAATCAGGCTAACCTAAATTGAAAAACTTCCCCTAATCAACATTTACAATTTTCTTCAGGATTGAGATTTAATAAATGGCACCCATCTGCCCCCAAGTCATTGTCTCAACAAAAGAAATAGCACCAAACTCCCCCCAGGAGACCACGACACATAGCACCTTTTAAAAAAATCAAAAGTAGGAAAACAACATCCCAAAAGGAATTTACCTCAACACCAAAAACAGCAAATCTTAAATAGTAAAAAAAAAAAAAATTTTTTTTTTTTTTTTTTTTTTTTTTTATAATACATCACAGTTTTCATAGCAGTAGTGTAATTATGAAAGAAGCAAATGAAAACAACATAACTAGAAACAGCAGGGATATATTGGGAATAACAAAATAAGGATCTAAACTGAACGAGTTCTGGCTTTCCACCCACAATTTCATTCTGCAGTGAAATACATATTTCACATAAAATGGAAAAGCAAGTGCTAGTAAATTGTGCCTTGGGAAGGTAGGTATATATAACACATGGGAAAAGAGAGAAGGAGATGGGAATCGTGTTACTCACTGTCCAGAGATGGTTTACTAATTGACATTAAAGACACAGATTTGGTCAGTGAAGACGAAACGGAGGAAGTGCAGAAATTGAATCCTTGTGGGTGTGGTGCTTGATGGATCTGCAGAACAGAAAAAAATAAAAACTATCAAATTTCTGAAATTCATGCTTTCAAACAGTGGGAATTCAAACAATCCCAGTGTAAGGCACAGGTGAAAAATGCAAGAACCAAAAATGCAAGCAGCATCAAGTTGTTAAAATGCAACATTTTCTTTTATGTAGAAGGCAACTAACTACTTCTGGAATAGAAACTAGCTGCTAACTTTTCTTGTGAGCTATTGCAAGGTGGATGTTCTCAAGCCACAGAAATTACTGCTGTGATTCTGGCTCCTCGCTGTAACAAACCTGACGCTTAGCTGTACTTCTCCAAAATGCCATTCCTCAACACAAGAGAAGGCATAAGAGCCTTCACACACCAGTTCTCACTGGTCAGAACTTGCAAGACTCATTTACTGCCCTTGATAGACAGCAGTGACTCCACGAGGTAGAGAAGGTGGGCTGACTAATGATTCTGGCAGGTTCCCAGAATGAACCATGGCTGAAACACCAAGCTCTGAAATAAAGGGTATTTAAAGTATTTAAGAGCATAATTGCTTATTTAATAAAAATAATCAGAGACTCTCACAATGTTTTGGCCCATCTATCCTTAATATCACAGACTTCTGCTCCAGAGATCACACTAAATGCAATTAACATGCAATTAAAATTTTGCTAAACTGTTGCTTATAATGTGCCTTCTGATTCTAGTTGTGTCTGCGAAAGAAAAGAAGCACACAAACTTTGGCTAACCTTAAAATGTTAACAGACAAATTACTACAAGGTTTATTTCTGTCCACTAGGACATCATCTATCAACTGTACTGCTTCAAGAATCCAAGCAGCACATCTGAACACAGTGGCAATTTCTCAGTGTTAAAATAGAAGGCTAATTACATCACACATACAGGGTAGAAGCCTTCAATGCCACCTTGAAAAAGGAAATTTTAAAATGTAGATGCAGACTTTCCAAGAAATGCAGTAATGGTTGGGCAGGTTTACCTGGTGATCATAGTCTCTGATTTCCCCTTGCTCAAGTTCTTCAGTGAGCAAAACCAGGGAGCCGCACTGGTTGCTGGTGAGTGTGCTCCGTGGAAGGTCTTTGGAGCTCAGAGAAGCAGCCTCCATGTTTGCAGAGGGCTTCTTGTTCTCACCAGAGTCTCCAGCAAGGCCTTCTAGGCTGTAACTGAAGAGAAACCACGCAGGTTAGATCCTGAGGAGCTCTCAGCAACGGGTGTCATACAGCTCATAGTACTTTCAAGTGTAAATCAGAATGCAGTCACTAGCTGAACCACTCAGAGCTATGCTGATGCTATCCCTCAGCACATTACTCTCAACAAACAAGTGCAGATATCAGGGGAGATATTTACATTTACGCTATAATCAGAAGAAACAGCAGCACCTCGTGTGACACAAGACGTACAGCACAACACTACCTGTCCTGGACCACTGCCCTCCCACAAAATCAGCACTGGGCTGCATGCAGTGTTCATCTTTGCAGACGTATCTTCTGAGTCCCACTAAGCACTTGCCACTGCACAGAGCTTTGGTACCAACAACATCTTTCTGCCAAAGCTGTTTTTCCTTTAATTCCTGTATTTTTCTCCTCATCAGCCACTCAGTGTTGCTTTATCACTTGCTGATGAAGCTAGCTCTGACCAATGGAGCCAGACACAATCACTCAGTGATATTCAAAACACCAACCTTTGGTGTGCAGAGCATGGTAGCTATAAAAGATCTGGCCAACCTCTGTAGAGACAGCACCTGCTGATAGACAGGTGACCTCTACAGAAAATAAAGCTAATACACTCTTTTCATCTGCACAAAACAATTTCCTTTTAAAATGTGACTACTTCCATCCGCTCTTTCTTAGCCCTCATATTCTGCCCCTAATCCTTGTGCACCTCATGCCAAAACTGAAAAGCCCACTGCCATATGGGGTTAATATGCACGTTTTGCAGATTCACACCTCCATGACTAATGCTCGACCTCACGTGCACAAATCCTGTTGGTGAGAAGCAAGACAACCCCTAGGTATGTACTCCAGCTTAGCATACAGAATAACACCAAATGAGCAAGTAACATAAAGGTTGATTACTTTTTAAAGCAATTTCTGTCGACCCACAAAAAAATAGTTGCAAGAAACACAATTTACTGACTTCAAAGCAGGCAACAAACAACTAGCACCAATGTATGAAAGGGAAAACACACAATGGATTGCACAGATTAGTTGAACAACCAGAGGAGCTAAAAATTCAGGTAGATTCGCATAGCAATGATTCATTTTCTGCATTCATTTAGAGCCATATTGATAAATACGCAACTTCAAAGCCAAAAATGCTACAAGCCTTGAGGAAGAAGACCTATTGAATTTTTTAAGATTTTTTTTATGTTGATTAATGAGAAAGAAGGCTGGATGAGGCATTTACAATTCAATCTGCTTTAGAAAGATTTTGATTCAACAACGCGTATCAATAGCAGGCACCGTAAAGCTCATTCTAAAACACCTGCAAAGAGAAATGAGTCCCTTTCTCACCAATTATTTAGGGCCCAGGAACATTTTTTCTTCTATCCCAAGATAACAATAACAATATTACAGAGTACAGAAAAAATGCAGTTTGTTGTAACACAAAGAACTCTGTTCAAAACTGCCATAAAATAGCTATCATTTAGTAATACCATTCTGTAATTGTTAGTACGTAGATGAAACAGAATTAATTTTGTAACTTGAAGGACAGATTAACTTCTTTCCCAACATCTAGCCTTTAGAAAGAGTGTCAATAGCTCTACCCACGCCCAGCAAGAAATGCCAGAGAAAAACAGGCTGTAAACTCCGTGAGGGTGGCTTCCAGTTATGTGAAAGCATGGCATCAGGTAGAGATCTGACCTGCGAGCATTAGTTCCAACTTTGAAGACTTCTCCTGAAGGAGCGAGTCCTGAGCACCTGGGAAACGTCCATCTGTGACTGCTGGACTGTTGTCACAGAAAGCGATCAGCCTCATCGAAGGAGGCTTTCAGCACACAGGGAGCAAACGAGCTGTCAACTGAACTCCTCAAGAGATGTGTCCACAACACAGTGTGTGTTCTATGGTTGCCATAGTTACCAACGTGCAGAAAAACACACCTTAACATAATCGCGGAGCAGAGCAGTTCGGACCAAAAGCGCAGTTCTTGGACACCCAAAGCCAACAAAAAGCAGCCACTGCCTTCACCCGTACCCCAGTTTGGGACACCCATAACCACAGCTCATGGCTGAAAAAGCAGACGAAGCAAACAGACACGTGCACACTTCAGCCATAGCAGCAGAGGAGAAGGCAATGTACGACAAGCTGACAACACAGTTTGCGGCACTCGATTGCTGCTGCAGCACATTTATTTATACCATACCTTCTACAATTAAAGTCAGGACCCATGGCAGCGAACTGCACACCAGAGGGACACCAGCTCAAACTAGGAACATTGAAAGAGGCAAAGAAAGGAAAAGGGCTGTGATTATTGGCTTGTTACGGCACAGGGGAGTGTTAAAATACTCTCATTTCTGAATAAAATGAAAACAAACAGACGCACACAAAAAAAGCCCTCAGAAATAACAGTCACTAACGTATGATTCCGGCTGTGAGAACACACCAAACAGGTAGCGGGGCAGCCCGTGCTTCCCTCACACCCATCCCACCCTGCCAGTGTACAACAGAAACTGTTCCTGGTGGGGAGAGATGCTTTTGGGAACACAGGGCTGAGACACAGCAAAGTCATTTTTGCATAAGTAATCACACAGCCATTGTGTTAGTAATGATTAGTATTTTCTGGTACCTGTCTCCTACAATCAGAAAAAGAGCCCCTTACAAATATTTAATCACGCAAGGTCTCCTCCACACAAGAATTAATAACTTCAGGCTACACTTGGGAAAAATAAGAAAGGGGAGTTACATTCTTAAAAGCTGCACAGCAAGTCAGTGAAAGAGGCTGGAAGGAAAAACAAGCTCGTCTTGCTGCTAACTTGGGATTCATTCAAATCAGGGTCCTTCAAGGAGTGCTTTGACTAGAAAGCCTTTCAAATCCCATACCCCCAAAGAATCCCAAGTTGCACCAGGAAAGACATAAGCAATGCAAATGCAGAATGCAAATATTTTGGTTGTCATTTTAAATACCGCTTTTGTTATTTTTTCTCTGCGATCTCATGGGCCAATTGCAGGTTTTGCAAATACAGAGAAATCAATCTTCTTGTCAGCTATGGCATATAAAAGACCTCTAAATACCAGAAAGGCTGTCCAGGAAACGTAAGTCTGAAGGAAATTTTGCATCAGCATAGATCTGCCAAGCAGTGCTGCACCAGTCCTGCTCCCAGCCCTCCCCTGTGGGCCATGCATGGAGAGGATGTGGCCAGAGCATGCTCTGATCCAAGCCAGGAGCCTACAGCATGAGCAGCACAAGTCTGAGCGTCCCTGGGTCACGGTTTGTGAAACGTCAGGAACCTCAGATGTCACAAAGAAGTGTTTAAAGTCACTGACTGCATCCGTTGCATGTCAAGTTCTTGCACTGCTCCCACGCACAGTACAACACTGGAAACATTTCAGAAGTATTTATGGTTGATATTCAGTGTTGGAATTCAGATAATTGCTACTTGCTTTATTAAGGACGTTAACTGGGGAAGATACATCTGAAGTACCTGTGCTTTGCAACCCAAAGCTCTAGGTGCTTACCTAAGAAGCTCTCGGCTCAATACCATAAGCACTCCTTATGAAGACCCTCCCATCATACATCAATATTTCATTATTCAACTACACCATGTGGCAGAGGAAGGTATAAATGAGGGATGTGGCTAAATACTTAAAAGAAACACATCCTCGTGTTCACAGTAAACCCCTCAAACCCCTTTGCACCATCAACCTCAGTCTGCACTTTCAGACCTATGTTCAACCCTGAGCTGGGTCAGTAAAACCCACCCAGAGGAAACTAGCTGAAGGCTGAGCAAGTGTCTCAAGGAAAATATCATCAGTGCTTTTCCTTTTCTTGCTCTCCCAAGTCACCTGTTTGTGGCCACAAGACTGCTGGGCTAAGAGGACCCTTGGAGCTGTGCTCAGGTTGACTTCCTCTCACTGACTTGTTTGCAGAAGTCAGAAGCTCGTGGTTGCTTACAAATTGAACAGACTACTTTACTCCATAAAGATGTGTACATTTACACCAGATTTAAAAGATGCCTCTATTTCTGAATGATGCCGCGGTACAGTGACAATCTCTAATGCTACAGCTGCAGGGAAGGAAGACAGAAGAGAGGAGGGACAGGAGCTGTGCATGCACAATAGAGGAAGCCAGAAAGTGGTGCAAGATCTCAGAGAAGAATAAAGATCTTTTGGCAAGGGTTCTGGAAAGCAGCGTCTTCCAGAATTATAATCTTGCTGATGAACCACCCACAATCTGCTGGCAACACCATCAAACTGCACAAGATCATTGCATAGCATGCAAAAAGCCTTCACAGAACAAGACTTGGGGAAGAGGAGTGCAATTACAGAAAGCAGCCTTGTGTGAGATCTGCTGAAATTAAATTTCAGGCTGCCGCTCTGCAACTGGCGTTAGAGGGGATAACAGCAAAACGGTTGGGAAGCCAGAAAAGAAGGACAGAGAATGCTTATGAAAGAACATCAGGACATTATCAGATTTGACTAAACATTTTGGGTTGCCTGTTTGAGACATTTTCTTTAAGTTCAAAGTTTCAGAATATTATGACTCAAGGTCTCCTCTGTGGGAGCTGTAACTGTATTAATAGTGACTGCTAAAGAGGTGTTCATTTGCATAAACTGAGAAGATGAGTGCTTGCTTCCTCCAGAGCAGCGTCATGCAAATAAAGCGGCTTCTTAGAAGTAAAAAAGCACGTTCTTTCTTGTGCCTTTCCTGTCAGAGCCCTCTCCTGACCTGCACAGCACTGCTCAAGAGGCTTCATTTATGCTGATGCACGGTGAGGCCCTCCTCACATTTCTCCCACATGTGGAAATTTGGTAGTCTGTTTAAACACACGTCTCACACGCACGTCAGGTAACCACAGCTGTGTCATGGGAGGTCCTCGGTTAACCTGCTGCAGGAGGAATGGCTGCAGGGGGTGGGGAGGAAGATCAGAAAAGGCCAAAGTGCTGAAGGGGAGTGGTGAAACATCTCTTTTTCTGGAACCTGAAGATGTATAAATATGGACAGTCCACACAAGTGCTGAGTCAGAAACGAAGCGGCCTGTTTCATATGTTAATGGGCAGCTGAAAGGTTGCATGAGTGAAAGTATGTATGGATGCGGAACTGAAAGTTTGCTATGCAGAAGAAAACTAGAAAACCCATGGAAGCAAAGAAAAAAACCACTTTCTATTTGTCCGGGAGGTTGTTTTAAAGAACAGCATGTAATTTAACCAGCTGCAGACCTGCAGAGCAACCCATGACTCTGAGGTTGTTTCGGTGCATCTCCTCAGCAATGCCCCTCCTGCAAGTCCTGGTGCACAGCTCTCGTGCTCTAGGAACAAGTTATGCCCCTGCTTGCAGGTAAATGGTTATTGTCATAAATCCCAATCTGACACACGCCAAAGTCTATGTCTAAGACTGCTCCAAGCTCTGGAGAAAGTGGCTTGAGCTTGTGCTCAGGGTTAGGTTGGAGAGGGAAAGCAGGCAAGCGGGACACGGTACTCTAGCACAGCTCTTGGAGAGGTGGGAACTCCGGGTTCATTAAGGTGACATATGGAGTTAGTAGACATTTAAACACAAAATGGTTAGTCATGTTAGCTGGCTTTGTACCTTCTTCTATGAATGGGAGGCTTCTTTATACCATCCCCCAGAACTCGCATTGAACTGAAAATGAATCATGGACAGTGGTCAGACACTTGGATGGAATAAAATGAACAAATGACAGCCGAAGGAATGCTACCAGACAGACAACCTACAGAGGGAATGGAAGTACAGAGAAAACACAAAAAGAAGTACTGCAGAAAGCAATGAGACTCTTTCAACCCTCTTGAATCTCATTTTTCAATTACAGGTAATCTGTTTAGCAAGTATTGACCATGTTCAACTTAACTGCTGCCCATGATGGGTCAGGTTTAAGTTTAGGTAAGGGCAAACCACTCTATAGAAGCTGTTAACAGCCATGGTTAACAAGAGCTCCAGTTTTGCAGCACTTCATCCATCAGTAAAAAATGCAGGCATTTCTTTCCTCAGACACCAAAGTGAAAAACACTGCATTATTGTTGAAAGACAGGCATTTCAAATCCGCTATGAATGTCAGGAATTACTGAAGGATGAACATCCTTTTGTGGAAGCCTTGTTCGCTTCCTTTGTGTTTTCAATAGCAAAATGTAGACGCAGGGATTATCCACAAACAGAGGGGGTGCAGAGGGGAAATAAGCATGTTTTCATAGTTTACTTAAGATGATTAATTTTTTCCTAATCTTCTCTGTGAATAATTTTCTACACTCATCTCACTTGCAAACAGAAAACGTAATAGTGAAAAAGACCAAATCCTACAAAAGATGGATTTCTTTGTATGTAGGCTCCTTGCATCCCACCCTAACAGGCTCTGTGCTGGAAACAGGACTGTTTTTGGTGGGACTGGGGGATGGACCCAGAAGGCATCTCCTGCTGCTTGGTTGCCAGTGTTTCTCTGTGCAGCACAGCTGTGCTCCATGACTGGGTCTGGTGGCAACTCCCTCTTTTTTTAGCTCATCTGATACTAGTGAGTGCAAGCTACTCAAACAAGGGGTGGGATGGGGCAGCACAGGTTTTAACCTTAGTGAATGTTCATGCTTCACATAGTTTCATTTCAAAGGTTTGCAGAAGTCAAATTACAGTGAAGGCTTTCCACTCTTTAAGTGGAAAAGTATCCACCATACGTGAAGGAAAGCACACACTCCAAATTTAACTGCCTTGTCTGGAAGCCACTTGTTTGGGCTCTACTTTCTTAGTATTTCTTTTTGCTCACCAAGCAACCAGAACCTCAGCATCGCTACAGCCATGTATGGAAAAAAAAAAACAACCAAAGATAAAAGAAAAAAAGCAAAATAAAAACAAGTAATTCAAATTCCTTCCAAACGAAAACATAAAACCAAATGGGAATCAAGTTATCAGCAAAGGTCTTCCAGTTTTTCTTTTCTAATTGACCTATGTGACAGATATCCTTACGTAGTGGCAGCTGCATCTAGGAACATATGAGAATAATTACTGTTCCTTTACTGAAATTGTCTTACATTTACAATGAGTGTATTTTCCCATATCAGAAACAGCCTCTGAACTCTGATGGAGAAGAATTTAACCCCATCTGTTAAGCATTAGCAGTAACTGCCAGCTATGCAGTTTATTACCATCACAAATCCTTACATAACAGGTCCTGCACTGAAAAACAAATCTTTCTAAATGAGCTTGTGAGCTTATGGACTCATGCTGCCATAACCCTGCATGTATACCTAACACTGACTCTTCTGTAGCTTTAAAGTATCAGTATTGCCCAATCCATTGAAATATTACCTGGGAATGAAGAATGAAGCCAAAAAAAGGTGGGAGCAGTAAGCAAATAATAATTAAAATAAAAAATTGTTCATCCTGTGTTGCTCTGTGTATTTTAAAAGCCTGCTGCCCACCTAGACAGCAACGCTCAGCTGGGACAGGCAGCCTGGGTGCAGTGCCATGATTCCTGCTCTGCATTAAAATACATAAAACTCCACGGCCATGCTTCCCCTAGTTTCAGCATGGTTTTGATCACCCTGCAGCCCAAACAGTGCCAGCAGCACAGGGCATGGTGATGACTGAAATACAATTATGTTCTTAGTCTGCATCTTAGTCTTTTTCCCCCACTGAGATAGAGGACTGAAGAACAAAAGGGAAAAGGAATTATCTTTCCTGGAGGCATGGTGATGTGTTTGATGGGACTTACCATCCATGAGAGAATCAAGTAGAACCAATTCCTTGAGAATGTACCAGGAGTCCAAAAGGGACCACACAACTCTCCACTACATACCTCTTCTTAAACCTTAGAGCCCATTCTATCTCTTCATATAGTCAATGAGATTTAACACTCCAGTTACTCCTTTAACAGAACTCTTCTTACAGAAAGAGGTGGTGATGTTTCAAATTTAAGATCTGTCCCAGGGTATCTAGAGAGAGGCTATAAGAAGGAAAGGGACAGACTGAAGGTCTGTTGTGATAGGAGAATGGAAAATGGTTTCAAACCAGAGGAGGGGAGATTTAGACAGGATTTAAGGAAGTTGTTTTTTTGTTTACAGTCAATGTGCTGAGGCACTGGCAGAGGTTGTCCTGTCCTTGGAAAGACTCAATGTCAGGCTGAACAGGGCTCTGAGCACCTGACCAGCTGTAGGCATCCCCGTTCATTGCAGGGCAGTTGGACTAAATGATGAGACCCTTTTAACTCAAAAGATTCTATGATTCTTTGATTTGCATTTGCTCTAATAAACTTTGAGGTATTCCTTCTGTCCTATGGAAACCGAGAGTGTTCTACAGGTATTAAGAATTTTCAACCTGAAAGTTAATAAAAGATATATATATATATATATATATATATAAAAGATATATATATATATGTTAGGAGGCTGTTTTCACTCTTCAGAGGTAAAAACGTTTCGAGGAGCGTCCTCAATTTTCTGTTTCATTACGCTGAGTCCAAAGCTCAGATAAGCCCATGTGACTGGCTGCAAAGCAAATCAGGGCAGCTCTCTACTCACCTCCTCTGATTGATTTCTGTTTCATTGGTGGCATTCTTCCCTGGCCCCCAGCTGTGGCGTCGGAAAGGTGACAGCGGCCGCATGGAGTTTCTTGAGACGGAGGAAGGAGCAGGCACGTCTGTGATACTGTCCAGCTCCTCTTCCTTCTCTCCCAAGCCAGCGAGTTCACCCTCTCCTCCCTCCACAGCCACCATGCTCGTGCAGCTCCCATCCAGGCTGCGCCTGTCCTTGGGCTGTGCAAAGCTCACCGCGGGTGGGAAGGGCAGGGACGTGTCGCTACCCAGGGATGAGTTCCTCTCCAAGGACACGGTGTCATCAGCAGAGGAGCTGGAGCTGGTGACATCTCCTGCAGACTGTTCCTCTTCAGGCTGCTGCAGGGAAGAAAAAGAAAGATGAGTCTTTATCTCTGTGTTATCGCACAGCAACTCCTGCTCTCGCCGAACCTATTATCAGCCACAGGGGCACAAACCTATACTTCCTATACTGCCAAAGATGTCCCAGGTGTTAATGATGGAGAGAGATGAAACTGGATCATCATGGCTCCCCATGACCAATGCCAGTCTCTCCTGGGTGACAAGGGGCCAGTCTGTAGCTTTTAGCCTTGAGAGCTTGAAGGCAACAACACATCGTTGTGCTGCATCGTGTGGTGAAAAAGGAACAATTATTTAGTTGTAGGAAACAGACACAAAAATAAAAACTTAATTCTTCAACCCCCGCTACTTTCCATTAAGCAAAAAGTTAATGCCAGGGTTTGCAGTATTTCTTCAAACCCAACTGTAATTGAAAAATACTGTTCTATGGGATCAGCCACACTTTATTACAGGCCTCCATTCATACTGCAATTTTTGGTTTACTTTGCTCCAAAAGCAGTAAGTGGAACCCAAACTGGTTCTCTTTGGCAAAAGGCCACATGCTGACAATACAGCCTAGAAAGAGCCTATGATTATTCTGTGTTCCCCGTGGCTAGGGCAAAAACACAAGCATGTATCTGACATCACCTTCAGTCTGAAATGGTGTTTGCCTCAAGAGACTGACGTGGGAAGTTTCAATTTATTCTCCTGCAGAGCCCTGCACTGTATCATTTGAAATAATAATAGGCAGAAATGAGTTGTCAGATCGTATATAATGGACTATTCACCAAAGCCACAGCAGCTAATTGTCCTCAAATAGCAGGATGGGCTGTCAGCAGAAGCTGAGCATTCGAGGAGCTGCAGCCTATTTGGCAGAACACAACATCCTGTTCTGTGAAGGGCAATGGGCACCACGAGCCACGTGGGAGAAGATGAGCAGCATCCTCATCTCCCATCAAGCCCAGCATGGTTAGATGCTCCAGGCACTGCTTTCTCATGGGCATACAGCATAAAGTAAAAGTTTCCTGCTAAACTGAATAAAAACACAGTGCAGTGTTCATAAAGCATGCTGACCCAACATTTCACAATGTAAAGGGAAGCCCTATTTCATTTTTGGCTATTTCTTATTCTTATTTCAGTTTAACAGGTAGACAATAACGTTCCTAAGGTGGTGTCAGTAAATGCTGTCACACCACTCTCCCCCTCTCTACCATTAAAAAAAAAAGAGGAACACAGCATGCACAGCACAATGCCTGCTTTCACCACTAAACATTAAATGACCACTAAGAACAGAGGCATACATTACATTGGTAAAGAACATCAAACATTAGCCACGAATTTATGTAAATTATAGTAAATTTACCATAAATTTAAATCATTGGATTTGACACATATTTAAATAGGAAGTATAGGTTAAAGCAAGAGCAAATGGAAAGGCATACCCTGCAAAGTTTTTGATCAAGTTTGGCATTGTTCAAGATTATCTGATATTTGTTTGATCCAGGATGAGAGCTTAGCTTAAATCCAGACAAATTTAAGCAGTCATTGTGTGGATAACACTCCTGCAGTAGAGAGAACAGCCTGCTTTGCCTTCCCGAGACACAGAAAATACTGTTAAGACATCAGGGCGGCACAGCAGGAGGGATGACAAGATGCCAGCTGTGCAGTGGAGTGATGGGACAGTTTGGAAACATTAAACGTGGATGCAAATTTGGTGAAAATATTGCAGAACATTAAAACATAGAAGGATATCTTTGCCCCAGAGTAAAAAGATTTTTTATTTCCTGGATGAAAAATAATACTGTTCCATTTGAAAATGCAGGACAAAAACTGCTTCTCTAGCAAGGAAGATTTAGGATTTCTCTCACAGCTCAGAAAGAGGATTGAAACTGCACAATATATTTGTCCAGTTTGAGTTTTACCTTGAGCATCCAATAGAGTACAGAGCACAATAAACACTTTCCTTGAACCTGTAGCCCAAGCAGTTACTATAAAACCTGTTCTGTCTTCACTTAAACAATGTCTTCTGTTCTGTTTTTTGAAACAAATGAAAATAGTGAATATGAAGGACCAGGACTCTGTCTGGAAAATGCCAAGTGTGGCAGGCACCTAGGGAACATTGTATTGTAGTCAGCTCTGCCAAACATTAGCTAACTGGCCATGTGTCAGTAAACAGGCATTGCTGTTTAATCCTATTTGAGTCAGAAAGCACCCTGTTTGCAGAATGGAAATGGTTCTCTAATTCTTTTCCTAAAAGAATAACAAAGCATTAAAGAAATATTAACTTTCCTCAAGTTAGGCTTGCTGCATTGCACCTCAATGCATTCAACCTGTAATTATGACAATAAAATCGATGTGTTTGCAGATATGCTACTGGACACATTCCTTGCTGTCAAACAGTACTTAGTGAGAAACAAGTTAAAAAAAAAAAAGCAAAAAACAAACAAGAGGTAAAACCTGAAAAGAGAGTTATTTGGAAAAGAACATATGTCCTTCCTGGGTAGGGATGAGAGAGATCAGTAGGATGGTCTGTTTAGTTTAGTTGAAGAGAACTTCAACTAAAACCCTTAATCTATCAGAAGTCCCAAGAATTGAAATGTTCTTTCTTATTATTTTCTTGATGACAACAAGCAAAACATTGAGAGATGAACTCAGTCTGTTCTCTGATCTTCCACGTGACAAAGGCATTGATGCTGTTACGGTGTTTTAACAAAAACAACAAAAAGAAAACAAATAAGACCTTGGCACGCTGAGCTTTATTTGACATAGCACTATATGAAGGGAGTCAAATTGTTTGGTTGGCTTGATACATAGTTGAGCAGAATATTTTTAAATTCAGATTTACCAGTGGCTCCAGGATGCCCAAAGTTAACCTTGGTAGTGGCATCCTAGAAATTATTTACCATTGTGTTTACAATTTGGAGGGGAGCAGCTTTCCCCCACTGCAAGCCTTTTTCTTCAAGCTTTAAGTTCTGAGGGCTTGTTTTCTGCTTTAGAGAGAGAAACAATAGCTCCAGGAAAATAAATGCAAAAAGAGATGTATGGATTTGTGTACTTCCTTGACCAACTCAAAACAGAGGCAGAAACTAAACATTAAGCTTCAACTCCTTTCTCTGACAATGAGCTGCAGGTCCCCAACTTCCCAAGTCCCTTGCAGGTGAACCATTCCCCAAGGGGTGCCTTGAGAGAGTTCCAAGTAACACTGAATTTCAGTGGCAGGTTAAAAGTTAAGATGAGCAAAGCGAAGGGGCTACACCCCAGGACGTTGCCAGATGATTGTGAGAAATGACCTCATGCAGCATTAATCATCCAAGAAGGAGAGTGTTGCAAAGTCTGCCCAGACGGCTGGGTAGAGATCGAGAAGGAAGAGGAAGATGACGAGGACGTGGGAATGAAGCACTGACGTCAAACAAATAAATAAATAACTGAGACCTCATGTTGGACATGATTTTTGGATTTCTGCAACGGCCTATTTGGTCTGAAAAAAAAACAACAAGTCGGGTTCTAATGCTACAGCTGTCTCAATCCTGGAGTTGATGCTATGCAGCTCAGCATGCGTCACTCCGAGAGAGAAAAGGAGACAGTGAGGAGGCGGCAATGAGAGCCCACAGCTCACATCAGGGACACTCCAAAGCACCTGCAGGTTTCATGACTCCACAGACCCTAATTTTTCATGGTCTGGGGACAGAACCAGGGCTTAAAAATACATGGATTTCAACTTATCTTTATAGAAGCGTCCCAAAGACCCTGGACAGACAGTAGCTCATTCCTTCAACATTCCTTTAATGTATTTAGCAGCTAAGAGAGGAGTGGCTTGTACAATAAAAAAAAAGACAAAACTCTTATAGATAAAAGATCAACTGGTGCTCCATGCAAAGAGAAAATCCCTTAAAAAAAAGCATAAAAAGGGAAAACTAGAATAGCACCAATAATAACACTAGTGATAACTAGTATTGATACACAGAATAATAACACTAATGATACTGAAAGGTTTGAGATAGAACTTCTCAATTAAATAAGCAAATTGCAGTACTTAATATAGTTATAACAAATTGAGTAAAATCAATAAGTACATCTTACAGTATCTTCCAGGAAAAAAAGATTGAATCCAACAATAATGGTAATAGTTATAAAAAATACTTAAAACTTGGCATTTCCACTGGCATTTCCACTCAGTAGCCTAGAAGAAAGGCTGACCCAAGGAACAAGCCCACAACACCCACTGAGTCCTAATGTAAATAACTGTAACTTTAGAAAAGGTATTCAAACAAATTTGGAGAAAAGAGATGGGGAATTGAGTTAGTCAGCAAAGCAGGGACAAATAAACCAACTGTCTGGGGCTGTGATTAGCTTTGAATGACTTCCTAAACTAAACTTATAAACCTTTTGAACTTTATCCATTTCTGACGAAGCCTGCAATCCACCGAATGATGAGAACAAGGCATGGGCTGCCAAATTAAGAAGAGGTTTCCTTTTCTACAAAGAAAATTCCCTCATCCTACCCTTTCTTTATCGACAATTGAAGACCCACTTCCCCACCAACTTTCTTTTCCCTGTGGCACTGCCATTACTTTGCCCTACCTATCCTTAATTTTTACTTCATACATTTGGAGAAGCAAACTTTCCACATAAAAGGAAGGGAAAAAGCTAAAGCTCTGTACGTTATAAAATGCACTGTGTTCTCACAGCACTATTCTCCCACGCATCCCCACACAACCATTAAATGAGGCTCAAATGACAAAGTCTGCTGTTGTAATTCGTTCTACACAAGCAAATTGAGGACAGTCTTCTGCTCTGCCAAACAGCTTTACATTCTCAGAATCCAGGGTCCCCCAGCTCTGAGAATAAGATGGGAAAGGGTGAGGCTGGCGAGCTGTGTGCCCTGCCACATGCGTTAAGAATGACTTTACTGTTCATTTATAGCACATGAGATCACTTAGCCCAGACTGTGGTGTTTCCCGTCCTGCTGGAAAATATTCACCATCATCTGATTTGATTTAACCAAACAGAATTTTGTTTCATTAAATATATTTCTCTGCAAGCAAGTGTGAAACCTGCTCTAAAAATTTAGCTTATCAGAGCAAGAACAGCATCTACTTGAGGAGGTAGGTTTGAGCTGCTTAAAGCTATGCAGAACCAAAGCAGATTGTGACCAACAAGGTGGCTGATCAATGGAGGCTTGTGTCCATTCTGCACCACCTCCTGTGTGCTTTCTCACCATCTACTTATGGCAAGAAGCACAAAAGTGTCAATTGCAAGATGGTTTTCAAAAGGCAAAAGCCAACTGTCCCCTGAATATCTTTGGGCAGCCTCAACGCAGATGGCAGAATGGCAGTGCTGAAGTGAGGCATGCTCTGCTCAGGAGATTGGTTCTGTATCTCAGGTTTCACCCACTCCTCCCTCCTTTTCTCATCCATGAGCAACACAAAGGGCACAGAGATGACTAAGGTTAGTAATGACTTCTGTTGTTGATTTTAAACAAACTTGAAAACATTTTCCTTCGGCTTGCACGCAAAAAGGCATTAGAGGTATGTTGCCCTGGAAACAAAGCTATTCCCTGGAATTGGCCTTAACTATTTGGAATGAGTGTTTCCTTCCTATTAAGGGAGTCACACTGAATTTAAAGAAGAACACCAGCTCTTCTGAGAATTGCAGTATATGATTCTGAATGTGTCAGTACAGAGGTTATGTTTGCTGGGGAAAGCGCTCTGTTCTGTTAGTTAAAGATGGCTTCCATATCATCTGTGCAGTCATTAATGACCTTACAAGAAAATCCGCTTTTTCAACTATTTAATGTCTGATTTACTTTTGTGCAGTCACAATTGCTTTCATCTCTTCAACATCAGGGGGTTGCACAGTGTACATAAATGCACCCCTCGAACTGCTGCATCTGAAGAGGGGACCAGCTCCTTCCCATCTACGCCATTCCAGGTCCATCCCTTCCAGGTCTCTAACTCACCAGCAAAACCAAAACAAGAAGGTTGCAGTATGAATTTATAGAATCAGGTCTTGAAACTTTTTTTACCCGCATCCCAATCAGATTTTCCTACCTTCCCAAAGACAAGATCTTCCATCCCATCACCAGGCAAGGAGAAGAAGTCAGACTCGCTGCCAGACTCTCTTTTAAGGACACCCTGTGATGAGGCACAGACGCTGCTCAGCCCATCCTCCAAGAAGTTCTCACACTCTGTGGGAGCAAAGCAGAAAAAGTTATGGTCTGATGCTTTCTGTAGCATTCAAACCTCCAACTCACAGACGCTCAGTCAATTCAAGAGTTTAAACCAACAGCAAGCACAGGTTTATAAATTGAATTCACCTCTTAAAAAAGGGACGACAAATTTTTATTAATTTATTCAAGAGTTAAAAACTCATTTTTTTGAAGGCTAGGAATGCACCACTGGAGTACATTGCACAAACAACTCTGCATTAAACAGACATGAGCATACAAATAAAGTGATAGGCTACATGTCAGTACCTCACACTGAGCATAACAGGGTATTATTTTTCCTATTGACCGCAGTGACTGCCAAATTAGATTTATATTCAGTAAGTATCTAAGTCAACAATATTAACTTTCTCAATTAAAAACAATTAATTTCCTCTAACATTTAAATGCCAAGGTGCTTTTGAAATGCTCATCAGTCCATTACTTGATTGCTTCTCCTATATTTCCCACTGGAAAAGTAACAGTAAGTCTTCTATGACAAGTTTTACTTTTTAAAGATTCAAAAATTGGGCACTTATTTCAATTTCACAAGCTTTCGTAATTGCTGACATTTAAATCTAAGCATATCGCATCTCTTCCTTCCATTTCAAATACTTCCAGCTGTTTGTAGTGGAGTGATGAGCAGCACAGAAATGCACCCCAGCCGTTGAGAAAGCCCATTCCTTCCAAAAACCTTAAGGGCTATGTGCCTGCATCCATAATGCCAATATATCATTTCACTTTTTTTCAGCCTGCAAGCAGAGGTATCAATGACAATTTTGGCATGAACTGAACATTCTTTTCTCCCAGTTAAGAATACTTGCTGATTATTAGTATTTATGAGAAAAAAAAAAAAAAGTGTTATTTTTCAACCTACTGTACCTAAACAAGATGCCTCCAAAACACTTCAGCTTCCTTCAGAGGAGCCAGGCAATAAAACACTTGTTGGCTCTTAAATAATAGCCAATAAACTCCATCCTTGGCTGTGGCAGGCTCACACATCAACACAGGGAATACAGATTTGGGTTGGGTAGCTCGAAGCCACTTTTTTTTCCCTTCCCTGTGGAAGGGATGGAGGCAAAGGTGCTGCCCCGGGGCCATGGGGATGGTGAAGCTGGCTGGAAACCCCATCACCCTTCTGAGGAGTTTCCACACCAGGGAGAACTGGAAAAGCACTTGTTGGAGAAGGAGCAAGTGTTCCCTCAGCCTTTTCCCTGTTCAGTAAACCTGGAAAATCTGAACTGCTTTTCCATAATCGAGGGGGATAAGGGAGAGGGGAGAGAAAGGGAAAAAAAAAAAAAGAAAAAAGAAATAAAGAAGGGAAAAGCAAAGTTGAGACGGAGTGGCTGTAAGAGAGAGGGCCAGGATGCGGCCTGCTGGCCAGCTGGCAGATGGCAGAGCTTGTCCAAGCCCAGACTGAAAAACAAAGGAGCTCGAGCCACGTTCCAGTGGAAAATGAGCAGGGCCGGTCCAGATGCACCACCGAACGGATACCTCACCCAGCCGATAAATCACAGCAGCAGTGAGAGGCCCGGCAGGAGCCAGCGAGTGACAGTGAGGGGTGGAAGAGGGCTGGGAAGGCAAGGAGGAGCAGAGGGAGGTGGGGGGGACCCCACATCTCCCCTCATCTCCCCTCATCTGCGCATCTCCAAGTCCTGACTCTTACCTCACCTTGGCTGTTTCAGGAGGATATATGAGTTCCCCCCCCCTCCTTTTCTCAGTTTGTTGGGCTCGCCCTGCTGTTTTGAACCATGCACACATTGCACAATGCTGACCTCTGTCTCTCAGTTGCTCCCACCCATGACCCCCCGAACCCTGCTGGCAGCGCTGTCACAGCACTGGGGTATGTGGACCAGCCCCCATCACACTGCACACACCTCATTTATTGCATTACTGCACTTATCCATTTATCCTTACTGCATGCAACTCCACAGACATGATGGCAACACACTTCTCCACATAATACAGAAGAAAAAAGCTACACAGTAAAAAGCCCTAGGATGAAAATTTCCAAATAACTCCTTTACGTACATTTTCCAAAGCCTCACAGCCTCCAATGTGGGGCTGAGCCCTCTTATTCCACACTGATAGCTAAGTAGCTGCAATGCAGCTCCAAAGCATGGGCAGAAAACGAGAAGCTACAATTCCTGAAGTTTTCCTCCAAGATTTGAGGACTGTCTCCTTACAACTGCAGGACTATTCAGTAGGTGAAAAAGTTGTAATTCCCTTTCAAGTTGTGTACTTTCACATTACATGTGAGCAGTCATTACACCATTTCTGGAATGCCAGCACTTGCAGAGCCTGAGCTCTTCCTGCTGCTGCAGTCAGACAAAAGCACATTTCCCTTGTCATCTTCAACCTTGCCTCAATGTGTTACAGACATGTACTACTGTAATTATTAATTTATGTCTGCAGATATAACTGATTGTATACTACATATATTTCTATAGCATAATATTGTATCAGATAACAAGTATATAACTAATATTGACCCATATGTCTGCATGATTATAAACTCATCAAGTAGAAGAGCACATGCAATTTTGCAGCCAAATGGAGCACAAAAAGTTCAAAGCATAAAAGCATCACACATAGACTCAAGGGATGCAGGGAAATAATTAGTAAAGAAGCAGCGTGATAATACTGCAGGCTCTCTTGTAAAACACTAGCAAAATAGCTATTCACTGATCATGACTATCCTAACCTGCAAGTCACAGCATTTTTTTAGTTTTTTTATTATTATTTAGAGAGGAGGAGAGGAGGAGGGAAAAAAGATAAAAGAGAAGAAGGGCTTATTTCACTTCAATGGGAGCTAGGACTTCTAGCTAGAATAAGCCCTTCAGGTCAGTCACCCAAAATGTCACTTCCTAGCCCATGCTCTGAAAAGAATGGGGTTTGAATTTCAATTCAATAGTGATTCAATCCTCGTTTTTCTTTCAAGCATCTCAGATGAATTGAAGGAGACTCAGGTGAGATTTCTACACATATTGCCAGTAAAACAAGTACTCAATGAAAAGTCCAAGCAAAGTCTCTACACAGAGCTCTGGTAAATTACTGTATTTGTTTTGAACGCGCATGATTCAATGAGAGGAAATGCTTTTTTTTCCTATCTTGGACACGAAGCCCTCTTTGAAACTTGCCAGACAAGATTTTCTGTCCCTGTGGAAGAGACAGAGCACCCGCCAGCATGCAGGACTGTGGGCAGGGTGTGGGAACGATGGCTCTGAACTGCCTTTCTGTTTCCTGAAGTCTGGAAATCATGGGAACTTTGAAGAAAAAAATAAATAAATAAGCAAAAAACCCCATGAAGCCGCTAATCTTCATCTGAATATGGATTATGAGAATTTTTGGGTTTTTTTCCTTTTATTATATTATCATTTTGACTAGAGAACACGTCTGTTTTCTCCATCGCACGTCTAAAATCTGGTAGAAAACTGAAATACTGAAACATTTCAAGTGCACAGTTAAGAAGGCGACACACCACTCAGCTCACTCTGTACTAACAATGACTCATTATAGACTCGTTACACATTTTCTTTAGCTTATATATTTTTTTCCATTGAGGTTAGGATGACAAAAAAAAAAAAAAAAAAAAAAAAAAAAAGGAAAGAAAAGTTGAGGAAAGCAGCAAGGAGAACAAGAGGGATGCTCTACCGAATGCATGCTGGTCAAGAACCCACAGCTTACCTGGAGACTCTCCTGTCCGCTTGCGCTCCAGCAGCGAAGAGTCAGGACATGGCTCCAGTGAGCACCAGCTTTCACGGTTTATCTGAAAGAAAATGCAACAGCAAATTTAAAAAAAAAAAAAAAAGGCTGCTTTTGCTATCATCCCCATTAGCCTCTTCTGCAACTTAACTCTGCATCGACCAGTGGATATGTAGTTATGGCTTAATTCCATAATAATAATAATAATAATAATAATAATAATAATAATTGCAAAAGTAATTTACCATTATTTTCTTCAGTATCGCTAAAGAAAGCACTACGATATGCCAAAAACTGTGTTTCTCTGTGGAAAGTATGAGGGAGAAGTGGCTCCCGCTCAAGGCAGGAGTTCGGAGAAAGGATGAGCCAGAGTTTAAGCTACTAGTGGAGAACTCAAGAGACCTGGCTTCAGCTCTCACTTCCATTTGTAGTGGGACTGCAGGCAAGGTACTCCCCTACTTTCTCAGTTCACTGTCTAAAGAATAGTAATTTCTTACTACCTGTACTGCTCCAAGTGTAATTACCTTAAAGATGGCAGGGAACTCTGATAATGTAGAAATGAGGGCTACACAAGTGTCCAAGTCATGGTAAGAACCAGAAGCACTTTGTACATCTGACTTCACACGTTTGCATTAACTGCAGCGATGACTGTGTTAGAAAATCCCATTTAACACTGAAACATCACATGCTTTATTTCAACATCAGCCTTATCATTTCACACTGCTCCTCATCCTGTCTGTAACTTCCAGTCTTTCAGTAGGGATGACTGATCTATGCTCAGCCTTCTTCCTGTGTTTTACTCTTCCTCACTTCGGTTCTTTAGTCCAACTTCTCGACCCTGAACTCTGCTGGATTATCCATGGCCCTTGGCTCACCCAACACATGTTTCTCACTGCTTTTGTCTATAACTGGTCTGCAAACCCCTTCACTCTCTCGTCTTCAGCAGTTTGGCTGCTCTTCCTAGATGAACGCGTTTTCCAAACACAAATCCCATTGAGATCAAACCCAGAAGTTGTTTCCCCTCCCGCCTGGCTGCTCCTCACTTGCTTCAACACACAGGGTCTCACATGTTCTAGCTAAATAGTTGCTCAAACGGATGACTTGTCTTACTTCACATGACAAATGCTTCTCCTACCCTCTCTTTGGCTTTCCTTTCCCTCTTCTCTGACAGACAGAATTTTTGCTTTTTTGCCTCTAACCTGTCACCAAATTTCCTTACTCATCCTGCACCTCTTCACCAGACTAATCCCTTATCCCAGGACCCTTCTACTCCTGATGGGGCTCACTGCTCTAAGAACCCACCTTCCTCCTCCTCTTCTCATGAGCTGATGAGCACAGATTTGCTGTCCCAGCCTGGCCTGCACCCACTGCTCTGCAATGGAGAGTCTCCCTCCAGGGCCTCCATTGAGCTCTCAGCAAAGCCAGCACTCCCCCAAGACCTGTCAGCTGCTTTCTGCACTACATATTTCTTGATCAAGTTTTGTCCCCCTCCATACTTCTGCGATGACAAAATGTGGTTGGAAGGGCCCTTGACAGATCACTTAGTCCCTTTGTGCTGCTCTAAGTCAAGCTTGGCTACAATCTGAGAGGCCTTCATACAACACGCCTATAAAATCCTCCAGCAGAGAGGATGCCATGATCTTCCCAACCAGCAGCTCATGCTCAGGAAGGTCTGAGAGGAGAAAAATGAGCTTCCCAGGAGAGCCAAAGGCCTCATGCTCTACCAGAGTGAGGGCTCAAGGTGCAGAGCCCTGGGCATCCCTCCCTGCTTCCAGGTATTCCACAGCCTGGTTTTCTTCCCATTAATTGCTCCCTGCCTCTGCTCCTTGAATCCTCATATATACGTTAATACAAGATCCCCATCAGACCCTCCTATGCATACACATCTCAAGTCCTTTCCTGCACTGCTGCTTTAAACATATGCATTTGCACACACATGCATACCCATCTTCTCTCTTGTCTGCTGCTCCACACCATTTCACCAGTTGCACACACACATGGGCTTCAGCAGAGCACCTTCGTCAGCAGATAGTCACAGACACGTTAACAAAGGGTGCAGAGTGAAAGAGGCAGTGGAAAGGCAGTCTGAAGCTCGAGAAAAGATTTTTTTTAAAGCAAATAACAAAAAGCAGGATTCTTATTTTCCCAAGTGACAAAGACATTTAGCTTTAAATGTTGCATAGACAGTGGGTCACCTTTCTGATTGTTTCAGTGGAAGAACCAGCCTGTTCACAAGGCTCAGAGGTATCTAACCTCAGCAATTAAACTTCACCACAGAGTCTATACATATTTTTCAGTCTTAGAAGAGCCGTAAAGTCAATAAACATCAGATTAATATTCTTTTCTCTTGAGCCAGAGCACAGCCTACTTTGGAGTACATATAATTAAAGGCACATCTAGACATTGAGCCTGAACATACATGGGAGGACAAATGCAAATTTGCTCAAGTCCACACAATGAAGGAACGATCCATCTTGATATGAAATCAAATCCTGCCTCCTTCTGAATGGTTTGCACATTACTCTTTCCAGAAGACACTGTGTCTCATTCTTCTTACTCTTACACCGATGTTGCTCCATCAAATTAATGGAAACTGCTCTTGGTTTATATTAACATGCACTGCTGGAAAATGATAATGCAGCACTCTATTCAGTAATTATCAGAAAGCAAGCAAAGAATTAGAAGATTCAAGACTGTTTATAACCAGTTGACTGCGGTAGAACACATTAAATTAGGCTGAATTAACGTTATATTTTTTCCTTTAATAGAACCAGTTGAGTCATTCCCTGAAAATGCATTATAGACATTGGCATTTTTTCAAAAAAGATTTGAATATTTTTCCCATTACCCAGCCAGCTCTATCCTTTGCCAAGTATTGAAAATGTCTGCTTTTTCTTTTTTTCTAGAAAAAGCAGTAATGAGAAAGTAACACTGAAGTTTAAGGTGTTTTTTCAAACATACATGGTTGTGCACAAAATGAAGCATTATGAAGTATTTATCTCAGCAGCCCAAATTCAGGAATAATAGTAATCACCAGCAAAACACTAACAAAGGAAACCACTACTATACATAAGCGTTCCCTATGCCAAAAAGAGACCAGACAGGATTTGAAGGAGGTTTACTGCAGCTCTCAGGAAACTGGGTGGTCCACAGAAACTGAAAACATAAAACCCATCATACACTGCAGAACACTGAGTACTGCTTTCCCTCCTCAGCAGCTGAACTGAGGGTGCAGATAGCATGGGCTGCAGGGAAAATGCCATCATAAAAGCACTTGATCAGCAGGGTAGGGGGATGTATTAGCCTGAGATAATCAGAAATGAGGTTGCTTTGGAATTTTGCAGACACATGCATCTCATACATAACAAAACTATTCCTCCCTATTTCCCTTAGCCCTTGTTCAGCCACAAGAGGAGCTTGACAACAGGACCTCAGGCTGACGGCCACAGAAGACAATAAAAAAACCCCTTGCTTTCCACTATGCCCACACTGATTACAGCCTATTGCTGCTGGGCATCCCACATCGCCGCGGTACGAGCAGAGAGGACACGCTGATCAGATGGCAGAAGGCAATAAGAAACAGTCCCTGGGAACAGAGCTTCAATATGCTGCATTTGAAAGCATGCCAGGAGAGAACCAGTTATTTTTCCATGCCGAAGCCTGACTGTGTTTATCTGCAGCTCAGACTCTGAATGAATCATGGGAGCATGTCCCCAGGCACCAAAAAGTGAATCCCGGAGGATTTTCTGTGTGCCTGTGAAATGCCAGCAGACCGAATGTCCAAAGAGGGCTTCAGGACAGCAGCTGGGGCTGCAGGCAGCAGACAGTTGTGCTGCTCATTCTGGGCACGCACGCCTGTATTTCCTGAATCTCAGAGACATTTTCCTGCAGACGTTTAATTTGAAACTCGACGTGACTTAGTACAGAAGCCTCTCTGCATAAGAAAAGGACAGCACTAGACAATCTGCGAGCCAAACAGGCCGCGATGTTCTCCATCATGTGGGAGCTATTAGTGGCCGCCAGCCTCTATTCCCTTTACTTCCTATTCAGCATCTCCCTCGGCTCTTCCTTCCTTTCCCCCACACACCCATCTGTCTGGGGGAGTTCTCTAACCCTTTCCAGACCTCTCAGAGTCTGCCCACCAGAATCTGTTCCTCCTCCTCAGATGACGTTTCAAAGTTGCCTCTCCTCACTTCTGCTGCGCTGGCTTTTGGGGACCAGCTGTCATGCCCTTCACAGCCTCCTACAAGGGACTGCCCCCATATGAGAGCTCCCCTTCCAAGGCAGGCACTGGAGCTTCCCAAACCTGCCAGGCCTTCCTGTAACTCAGAAGATTTAGATGGGGTGATAACCGTAGCAAAGCCCTTTTCTTTCTCCCTCTGGTTTCATCTAAACTCTTCTGACAGCGCTTCCATTTCACAACAGGAACACACTGACCTCTCAGGAAATCTTCTGCTGCTTTGAAAGTTTGCACTTGTCACCATCACAGTTACCAGTATAAATCAGCACCAAACATCCCTGAGCAGAAGGAACACGATTTTAGCTTTCGTTTCCTAGCAAATCTCTAGAGATTCATCTTCTTTCCACATTGTTTTAACTTCGTCCTAATTTTATGTTTCCATTTCTCTCTCCTTTTTTTTTTTTCTTTTTTTTTTTTTTTCCAGCTTCCAATCTAGCATAAAGGAAAATATTTAATAGAGTAATTTGAGCTTGCTTGGTGCATCATTAAGTACTTGTGCACCATACTGAGCAGTAATGGACATTAGGAAAGATTTGAATAACCTATAGAAGAATTAGAAAAGCAAAAATTAAACTTATTTCTTTAATTGCAATTATGACTAATCTGTGTCATAATCAGAAATGATAAAACTGTCTCAAAAGCATTAATGCAAATTTTAACTTTTTAGGAACTCAAAAAAATTCCTGTAGGATACTCTTTTCAATGTTTCTTCTAACAAACTTCTAACTTTACAGTCTCGTTGGTAACAGAATAATCTGGTTGTTGCCTTTTAATTCCTGAACTATGAATTAAAGTTAATTCATCCCCTTCCAAAAAAAAAAAAA